CAGATCTCAACCCCATAGAAAATCTATGGAGGGAGTTGAAAGTCCGTGTTGCCCAGCGACAGCCCCAAAACATCACTGCTCTAGAGGAGATCTGCATGGAGGAATGGGCCAAAATACCAGCAACCGTGTGTGAAAACCTTGTGAAGACTTACAGAAAACGTTTGACCTGTGTCATTGCCAACAAAGGGTATATAACAAAGTATTGAGAAACTTTTGTTATTGACCAAATACTTATTTTCCACCATAATTTGCAAATAAATTCATTAAAAATCCTACAATGTGATTTTCTGGATTTTTTTTTCTCATTTTGTCTGTCATAGTTGACGTGTACCTATGATGAAAATTACAGGCCTCTCTCATCTTTTTAAGTGGGAGAACTTGCACAATTGGTGGCTGACTAAATACTTTTTTCCCCCACTGTACATTATAACTCTAACACCGTTCACACATTTATACTGTATTTGGGGTGAAATCCTTTAGTCATTATTCTTAAAATACAAATGAATCTAACAAAAACCTGTTTCAGTCTGCTTTCCAACAGACACTGGGAGATGAATTCACCTTTCAGCAGGACAATAACATGAAACACAAGGCCAAATATACACTGGAGTTGCTTACCAAGACGACACTGAATGTTCCTGAGTGGTCTAGTTACAGTTTTTACTTAAATCGGCTTGTAAAATCTATGGCAAGACTTGAAAATGGCTGTCTAGCAATGATCACCAACTAACTTGACAGAGCTTGAAGAATTTAAAAAAGAGTAATGCGCAAATATTGTACAATCCAGGTGTGCAAAGCTCTTAGAGACTTACCCAGAAAGACTCACAGCTGTAATCACCACCAAAGGTGGTTCTAACATGTATTGACTCAGGGGTTTGAATACTTATCTAATGAAGATATTTGAGGTGTATTTTTTTTTTTTTTTTTACAGATGTTAGAATTTTTGCAAGGGAGCACTGCACACAAGTGGCCGTGACCCCACTCTCTGAAGGTGTCTCAGGTGGAGTTGGGATATGTAAAAAACACATTTCCAATTCACACAAGTATTAATACACACTTGTACATGTGTGAAATAGGACAGATATAAGCACCCACTCAATTATTATTATTATTATTAAAAACATACAATATTCAGAAAAGTATCTTACAAAACACGATTATGAAAAACAAACACATTCCTCAGTAAAATAAAAAGTCATCAACCAGCCTTCTGAACTGCCCTAGTCGCACCAAAACATCCAACCTTAGAGGGTTCTGGAGATCATTCTACAAGTAAGGTGCAAAAAAACCTAATGCAGATCTACCTAACTCAGTGGAGACTGAAGAGATGGCGGAGGTTTGAACAAGAGGGCTTCATAAACAAAAAGAGAGCAGTGCATTGATCTTCAAGAGTTAAGAGAGGGACAGCCTACTTTTTGATACAGAATGCAGTGATGTGTACTGAACCTATCTCCCGTAATAAAATGTAGTGCAATGAAGGCTAAAATCTGGCAAGTATCCTATAGTTTTCGAAATAACTTTCATGGGATATTCTAATGTTTTCATTTGCTGCCTAAGGGCCACGTTGGGACTACACTGCAACATAACCTAGATTAAAGGAATGTTGACTGTTTGCTGGGTAGTAACATTGGAATAATACAAGTCCTATATCATTGACATTGTGACGTGGCCTCATTTCAACCCTTGACTCAATACGAATTTAGGCAGAATTCTATATGTAAATATCCATCCAGACCATCAAACAAACTGCTTCTCAGACATAGTGTCAAGCTATGTCCACACGGTAAACGGACAATAATTACGTTCTGGTTCATATGCACAGCGCAATATTAGACTCAATAAAATATTTTATAGCAGAGCGACTTACAGTAATGAAAACTACATTTCTGTACCTTTCGTATTGGTTTACTGTGGGAATCGAACCCACAACCCTGGCGTTGCACGCGCCATGCTCTACCAATTGAGCCACACGAGACGGCAATCCTTTTTTTCAGAACACATTCAGCTGTCCAACCTCTGCCCTCAACTACACGCCCTACCGAGCAGAGGGACTCCAGCAGCAGCGGTCTCTCCCACCTCCAACAACAAACCAGCCCAAGAATGAGCCAATGAAATGTTGTTGTTATCTTCATGTCTGGCCAATACTTAGTAGCGTAATTACATTATAGGATAATGAGCGGTGAAATGATTCTGTCATCCTGGTTAACGTAGGATAAAGATTGCAGACGACATACAGGACCATTATAGTGTATCGGTATGAATCTGTTTACTAGGGTGCGGTTTTACATAGCTTTTTGATCATGTTGTACATTTGTGAATTTCAGCTCAACGGGAATTATATTTGTAGGTTGTTCAGTAGTCTTTACAATTTTTTTGTGACTGATTAATTTAGCTGAATAAGTAAGATGTATGAAAATGACATTCAAATGCTTTCGTTTTGGAGGGATCTCATAGCCGAACTTGATTACAATTCTGAGAATTCTCATGAAAGTCAGACAAATGTGAATTTTATTTTAACTATATTTTCTCCATTTATGTAAGCAAGATAAAGTGGTTATGTTTATGTTCCAGAAAGTGAATCCATGCATGCGGCTGTGGATCTCATAATGACGGATGATGAGTGCTCATAAATCATGTTAGTCTCCATTTGTAAATCAAGTAATGAAGGTGAAATACATTTATGAGTATTGCATCTCCGATTTTGATTAAATGGGTATTAGGCCTACTGATAATGTAAAAAAAAAAAAAAAAAAAGGTAAACGTTTTTCAAGAGGAACAGAAGCTTCGTAAATGGTAATCAAATCAAAAGACAGTCATTAAAATAAATACTGTATCTACAGTAATTGTGTATCACATGGATTTCATAATAAAAATCCATAGTCTATAATTAACCTTCAGATTCAAATTTTTACGGTGATATAAATTAACTCTTACAGTAGCCTTTTCGTCACCTGCCCCACCTATTTCCTGATTTAGCGTTGGAGATATCTATTGTATAACAGACGGAACAGTGTCGCGCAGCATCCTTGAATGGCACAGTTCAACATGGACCACTTAATTTTCATCTAAATTTAAGTTAAACTCCACACGGACAAAGATGGTAAGGTATCACTTAAATATTGATGAAACGATACAGGAAAAACATGCAAAATATGAATACTATTAGACAGCCTCTATATAGGCTATAACATACGTTTACTGTCTATGCATTTTTTTGTAGCAAGTATTCTCTCTAACAGGTCGCGTTTGTTATTCGAAGGTCACATTTTTTGCACTTCTACAAATACATGCGTGAAATGAAATGTCAATGCCTCGGGCATCTATAAACCACATGTTAAACCACAATCTCTTTTAGGTGAAGAGTGACTTTCACATCTACTCTTATGAGACACAATAATCACTTGTTATAAGACTGGCCATGATTGATTTCACTGTTCTCTAATTCAAATACATTTTTGTTTAGATTCAACCAAAATGTACAAACTTAAATGCTGCAGATGTGAAGAGAATTAGCCTAGATTTAGGTACCTAAAGAACAAAATAATGTCTGGCATAATGTTATTTCAAGGGACTAATATACATTGATCATTAGGATATAGTGTGAAAATAATATTCTGTTCAGTTTGTAAATGTCTCAATTAAGTGGAACATTTAAACATTGCACTCAAGCCAATTGATTTGTTGTTATTTCTCTGTATAAGAAGTGGTGGTTCAGTCAGTGATGAGAGGAATAATTGATCATTGTTATCACCAGTTAATTATTAACACTCAGCATATCACACACAATGGATCCACACACTTTCTCTCCTACTAGATTCGATATTTGTTTAATCTGGTTTTTGTTATTTGGTATCGCATTTTCCTTTAACCTTCATACACCTATGCCATACACAAACTATATGTTAATAACTCATGTGAACTCTTTCAGACCATTTTTTTTAAGTTCTAGAGGCAATGAGAATGTTAAAGGACATGCAGTTCTGTTTTGAGTAAGCAAGTGCTTGAGAACAATGCCAGATAGGCTCCATCTGTTGTGGTACAGAGATAGGTCTTTCTTATTTCCTCTGTGTGTCACAAGAAAATTATCTTTAGCAAAGCATGCACCTCATTGGCCCATTTATGACTGCAACTGCCATTTCTATGGCAACAATTGCAGAATGATACACAAGGTGCATAGGTGTGTGGTTGTAGTTACTTCCTGTTTCTCTTCATTGTTTCATTCTTTTAACCCTTTATTCAGCAAAGATCTTTGCTCTTGAAGTAATGATTTTTGAGTGTGGGTTTTTCCAAGTTCTCTAAAACTTTTCAGAGAGGTAGCATTGATCATACAAGTGCACTGTCTGTGACAATCTGACATAATTGTTTACTGTGCCATGACCTCTATCTCAGAACATTTTCCCTTACTGGCTCTGTGGTAGTTTGGCTTGCATGTGACATGTGGTTTGGTTGCACCTAACATGTTAAATGTGCCTCAGAGAACACTATTCACACATCTATTGAAATGTCTCTATGTGTCTTGCTCTGATAGTAGCACATTCAGAAATACTTGTACCTGTGTTTTCACTCTGGTGCTTGTGAGAGAGACATTATATTGGTCAGAGCAAGTAATGTATTGAGCCTATTGTGTCATTTAGTGGCAGTAATGATGCAAGGATCAGGAACCGCTAGTGATTTGATGTGTGCAGTCCCTCATTCGAATGATGCCTCAGCATGGGTGTGTGAAGAAAGAGAGATGTGTGTGGGGGTGGTTGCACTGGTTTTTGCTATTCTGCTAACTTCCTGCTTACGAACTGAGCAGCCCCATTCTCACCTTGCTGTATCTGTGTCAGGCGGAGAGTGTGGATGTTCGTGCGTTGAGGGCCAGGTTCCATGCCAAGGCTGACATGGCAGGTAGCCAAGATAGTACTTCTCCAAAATCTCCACTGCCAGGATTTGGTAGAGGAGGCCCGTTGTTGGCAGACGCTGGTGTTACAGCAAACGGAGGGGTCCGACATAAACTGATGCCTTTGGTTCCCACACCACCACTTTCTGGATCAAGCTCCACCCTGGACCTTCAGAGGCTACCACCACGACCTGTAAGGGCTGAACTGGAGGGCGTATCCACCAGCCCCAAGCCTCATGGTGTCTTCCCCCGCCCTCCACCATCACACCGCCCCCATGGAGCCACCAAGGAGCTGCCCCGACCTCTACCCCCACCCTCAGACACTGACAGGCAAGGCAAGGGGAGAATCACAGGGGAGCTCCTGCAGAACATGATGCACAAGGGAGTACCCACCGCCCCTACCAAGCCAGTGCCCCCCTCCCTACCCAGCCAGAGGAGTCTGACGGAGGTAACCCCCCTGAGAAGGACCCTGCCCTCTGAGGGCCCCAGACCCATAAAGCCCAGACGACCCCCGCACGTCAACCTGCAGGCCCATCAGAGAAACACCAGACCACCACACCTTGCAGGGCGCCCAGTGTTAAGAAAGACTGAAGGTAAGCAGCTTGGTTCTAGATTCAATCCGATCAAGCGGTCACTGGCGATAGCCGACACCCGCATAGCTGGTGTTTTGGCGGTGTCTGAGGTGTAACTTAGTCTAGCTAACACCAACAGTGCTTTCAGAAAGTATTCACACACCTTTACTTTTTCCACATTTTGTTGTGTTACAGCCTGAATTGTAAATTGATTGAGATTGTGATCTACACACAATACCCCATAATGTCAAAGTGGAATTTTGTTTGTAGAACATTTTTGAAATTATACAGAACAAAAATATATTTGCAACATGTTTCATGAGCTGAAATAAAAGATCCCAGAAATGTTCCATATGTACAAAAGGCTTATTTCTCTCAAATTGTGAACACATTTGTTTACATCCCTGTTAGTGAGCATTTCCCCTTTGCCAAGATAATCCACCCACCTGACAGTTGTGGCATATCAAGAAGCTGATTAAAAAGCATGATCATTACACAGTCTCACCAGGGTCGTGACCTGGATGCAGTTCAGCGTTGTAACCGATTTCAGTGGGCAAATGCTCACCTTCAATGGCCACTAGCACGCTGGAGAAGTGTGCTCTTCACGGATGAATCCCGGTTTCAATTGTATGGCGTCTTGTGGGCGAGCGGTTTGCTGATGTCAACATTGTAAACAGAGTGCCCCGTGGTGGCAGTGGGGTTATGCTATGGGCAGTAGTGATGCGCGGTTTGACTCATAACCCGCAGTCCACGCGGTTATATCCACGGGGCGGATGAGTTTAGGGTCATTAAATATTGTGTGGGTGGCGGGCTGGTTGAATAAAGAGAAACAATAACTTAAAAAATCAACAAATTTACAATTATTGTGCAATTTATATAGGCTACATTGAGGTTTGTCGTTCTTTATTTTAGGCTATCTGATATTAGTGCATAAGCCTAAACTTTAGGGCTTAACCATACACGCGCCAAATAGCCTACACACCCGATCGCCAAATCATGTTTTTGGGAACCGGCAGAAAAAGTTAACATCAACCACGGAGGCAAAAAGGACATTGTCGAAGTTTAATTCAATAAGACAAAAGCTGCGAAAGGATATTTGAAAATAAATAGAAGGGAGAGCCAGAAAAGTAATGTTTGGAAAATGTTTTCTGAAGTGGTAAAAGAGGATGATAGCAGTGCCGGCTTTGTTATGTGTGATGATTGTGAGGCACTATACAAATTCGACAGTCACAAGACGGGGCTATTTAATAGGCCTATGGCATGTCAAGGGAACTGTCGCCTACTATTTAGCTGCGTTAAATGGTCCTCTGTAGCTCAGCTGGTAGAGCATGGGGCTTGTAACGCCAGGGTAGTGGGTTCGATCCCCGGGACCACCCATACATCAAAATGTATGCACACATGACTGTAAGTCGCTTTGGATATAAGCGTCTGCTAAATGGCATATTATATTATTAAATAGAAACTGAAATCTGGACACTGACTGTAGGTCTATATCCTTAATAATAACTCCTGCAGAATGAAGCATTTCTTGCAGTAAAATTATACACCAAAAGTAGGCGAAATTTGGACTTGGGAACAGGAGTGGAGAAATATGATTTATATATTTCTGCATCTTGAGAGAATGCAAAGCTCAGTTAGATACCATATGTATAGGTGCTGTCTTCATCATACAAGCATCATAAAAGCTGATAGTATTTAAATCACATAAAATATACATCGAAGCTGAACTGAAATCTTATCAGAAACACGTTGGGTCGGTTTCACAGCTTTCTTTTTCCTTACAACCGGTCAAACTGATGTCATTTGGACATTTTGCACAGGAAGTCTAAGCGCTATTGAATTTTCTCCTAAGTCCCTAAACGTCTTTGCTCCTCGAAAGATGTCAACTAGATTGAAGCATTCATTCTATCGATCTATTACATTATTCTGTTGAGCAAGGGTTTATTTAATATTCTAGGACAGCATATAATGACAATAAATAAGCTACATGTGTCTAATTATAGACAAGTTGAAGAACAATTATGTCGGAAATTATACGTTTTATCAAAATACGTTTTATCACAGGGGACAATTTTAGGACTCATCATTGTAGTCTGTAGAAAAATGTGGGATGGACCCCTCTGTCTGTAAGAAGAGAGCTGCATTCTCTTTTATTTATTTACAAAGCAATCTTACAGAAACTGCACCCCCTGTCAAAACATTGTTCTGCCATCGTTGACTGTAGCCTATAGCGCATTTTTTATATATTTGTTGGGTGCAGGCCTCAGATTTTCACTTTATCACATATAGTCGGGCAGTTGCGGATGGGTTATTAGCAATTGCGGGCAGGTACTGGTGAACAAACAGCTGACTAATGGGCAGGCATAAGCTACGGACAAAAAACGCAATTGCATTTTATCGATGGCAATTTGAATGCACAAAGATACCGTGAAGAGATCCTGAGGCCAATTGTCGTGCCATTCATCCGCCGCCATTACCTAATGTTTCAGCATGATAATGCACAGCTCCATGTTGCAAGGATCTGTACACAATTCCTGGAAGCTTAAAACGTCCCAGTTCTTCCATGGCCTGCATACTCACTAGACATGTCAACTATTGAGCATGTTTGGGATGCTCTGGATCGACTTGTACAACAGTGTGTTCCAGTTCCTGCCAATATCCGGCAACTTCACACAGCCATTGAAGAGAAGTGGGACAACATTCCACAGGCCACAATCAACAGCCTGATCAACTCTATGTGAAGGAGATGTGTCGCACTGCATGAGGCAAATGGTGGTCACACCAGATACTGACTGGTTTTCTGATCCACACCCCTACTTTTTTTTAAAGGTATCTGTGACCAACAGATGCATATCTGTATTCCCAGTCAAGTGAAATCCATAGCTTAGGGCCTAATGCATTTCTTTCAAATGACTGATTCCCTTATATGAACTGTAACTCAGCAAAATCTTTGAAATTGTTGCATGTTGCATTTATAATAAGTATTCAACCCCTTTGTTATGGCAAACCTAAATAAGTTCAGGAGTAAAAATGTGTTTAACAAATCACATTATAAGTTGCATGGACTGATTCTGTGTTCAATAGTGGTTAACTGCCTGTAGCTTAGGACCTGAAGCAAGGATATGCATATTCTTGATACCATTTGAAAGGAAACATTTAGAAGTTTGTGGAAATTTTAAATTAATAAAGGAGGATATAACACATTAGATCTGGTAAAAGATAATACAAACAAAAAAACGTGTTTTCTATTAAATGTTTTGTTCCATCATCTTTGAAATGGAAGTTAAAGGCCACAATATATTATTGCAGTTTAGGCGCAGTTTAGATTTTGGCCACTAGATGGCAGCCGTGTGTGTCCAAAGTTTCAGAATTTGATCCAGTGAAGCATTGCGATACTGGACTATTTTGTATCAAGTCTGCCCAAATGTGCTGAATTGGTCAATTGCTACATTTTCAAGTACATAACTATAGAAAACATACAAAAATGATATGGTAATACAAAATGTAAGTTTACACACTCCCACGAATGTCATACATGATGGATCATTAGCTTATACACAAACTTTCACATATCTAGATGGCCGGGCTGGGTGGGTGTGGAGCCAGAGACAGCTGGGTTTCAAACTGTAGAACCCAGTTCCTACATTTTAATATAAAAATTGATTTTATCAAACAAAACTGTGCTACATTTTATCTCTGGGACCCTTAGGATGACAAATCAGAGCAAGATTACTGAATGTAAGTACATTATTTACCTTCAGAGATGAATGTATCAACCCAGTTGCCGTGATACATTTTTTGTTGTTGTGCACTCTCCTCAAACAATAGCATGGTATTTTTTCACTGTAATAGCTACTGTAAATTGGACGGTGCAGTTAGATTAACAATAATTTAAGCTTTCTGCCCATATAAGACATGTCTATGTCCTGGAAAGTTTGTTGTTACTTACAACAGTCATGCTAATCACATTAGCGCATGTTAGCTCAACCGTCCCGTATACGGGACACCGATCCCGTAGAGGTTAACATGATTTTTGAATTACAACCTCATCTCTTTACCCCACACATACAATTATCTGTAAGGTCCCTCAATCGAGTAGTGAATTTCAAGCACAGATTCAACCACAAAGACCAACCACAAAGACCAGGGAGGTTTTTCAATGCCTCACAAAGAAGGGAACCAATTGGTAGATGTATAATACAAAATATCCCTTTGAATATCCCTTTGAGCATGGTGAAGTTATTAATTAGACTTTGGGTGGTGTATCAATACACCCAGTCACTACAAATATACATGCGTCCTTCCTAACTCAGTTGCCAGAGAGGAAGGAAACTGCTCAGTGATTTCGCCATGAGGCCAATGGGGATTTTAAAACAGTTACAGAGTTTAATGTTTGTGATATGTGAAAACTGAGGATGGATCAACAACATTGTAGTTACTCCACAATACTAGCCTAAATGATAGAGTGAAAAGAAGGAAGCCTGTAACAGAATAAAAATATTCCAAAATATGCATCCTGTTTGCAACAAGGCACTTAAATAATGAGGCAAAAAATTTAGCAAAGAAATTTACTTTTTGTCCTGAATACAAAGCAGTATGTTTGGGGACAATCCAACACAACACATCAGTGAGTACCACTCTTCATATTTTCAAGCATGGTGGTGGCTGCATCATGTTATGGGTATGCTTGTCATCGGCAAGGACTAGGGAGTTTTTATTTTATTTTTATAAACTGAATACTTTTTGGATAAAAATATACGGAATACAGCTAAGCACAGGCAAAATCCAACAGACACTGAGAGACGAATTCACCTTTCAGCAGGACAATAACCTAAAACACAAGGCCAAATCTACACTGGAGTTGCTTACCAAGATGACATTGAATGTTCCTGAGTGGCTTAGTTACAGTTTTGACATAAATCGGCTCAAAAATCTATGGCATTCTAGCAATGATCAACAACCAACTTGACAGCTTGAATAATTTTGAAAAAATCCAGGTGTGCAAAGCTCCTAGAGACTTACCCAGAAAGACTCACAGCTGTAATCGCTGCCACAGGTGATTCTAACATGTAGTGACTCAGGGGTTGAATGCTTATCTAATAAAGATACTGTATATTAGTGTTTTATTTTCCACAAACAATTTTTTTAAATGTCAGAATTTAAAATTAAATCAATTTTAATCCCACTTTGTAATGCAACAAAATGTGGGAAAAAGTCAAGGGGTGTGAATACTTTCTGAAGGCACTGTAACTCTCGAAGTCCTCCTGACCAGAGTCTGGTATTACTTTTTGATGTTGTTGGCACAATGCGTTGATAATGAAGGGGGCTGTGCTTTTACTGGTTGGGTTTCCTCTGTGTCTTTCTCACTCAAACAGCCACACACACTTCAACCCCCCAGGGAAAAAACATATTTGAGAGAACCAATCAAACCCATCGCACAATTTCTGAGCGAATATTGCATTAACAAACAGCCTCCTTTCCAGACCAATGTGGTCACAGCTCTCCCTGCACTGTGAGTCACCTGTGTTGCGTCAGCCAGGCTAGGTGTAACTGCTTTAGAGCTGTCAAATCACAGCGGCTGCTCGTGTGGCCATTGTCACGAAGCCACACCCATCCCAATCGCATCATAACTAGAAAGTGTAGGCTATATAGAAATAATGACACCCAAATTGAAAATCTTTAAACGAAATAATGAGGATTTCTATCGGCCTAATCGAGAAGTAGATTACATCTCAGATTCCACTGTTCGAACTTGTAAACAAGGCTGCATGGGATTTCTCTTAATGCGACTCCGTGCAGCCAATGGCAATGTCCGCTTTAGGTATAATGCCGGGAGCCGCTTGTGGATTTGACAGCTCTAACGCAGTTCCACCTCTGACACCGCCAAAACAACCGTTATGCGGGTGTAGGCTAGTGTGGGTCTGATCAAATCTAGGCCTTAATTTCCTTTGAAAAAGCCCCCCTTCCATTACAAGTATAAAATGGAAAACTGACTGTTTTGAATACATTTATACAACGGGTGGGTCTAATCCTGGATGCTGGTTGGTTAAAACCGCATTCCAGCCGGTGTCTATTCTATTTGAATACATGTATGGACTTACTGTAAGCACCATAATGACACAATATAGGTATCTGTTTATTTGCAACCTGTCTAGGACAAATATGCAGTGTGCCTTATCTGGTTACCAGTTAAAACCTCAACATGTCTCTCTCTAAAAAGTATTTTTGAATTATGTATTGTATACATCACATGCGAAACAGTATATTCTGTAAGAAATTATCAGACTGTTGCTGCTGGTGCAGAGCATTGCCCTGTAATATATCTGTTGATATTGAATGAATTGGTGAAGACCTACTGTAGACCTACAGTGCAGGTTGTTTCTTCTCCTCAGGTGGCAGTAGTAAGTCTCTTCCAGGGATCGTTAGTCTATCTGGCCCCTCAAGACTCCCAAGCAAGCCCAGCAGCCTACCACGGGAGTGTACCCCTGTGTGAGTGTGCTCACTTGAAATGTCAAGTGTTGATTGTTAAATGTTGAGTGATAGTATGAACACAGATAGGGACATCGTTCTTATATTGTTGCTTTTCTAATTGTGATTACTCTGTAGGTAACTGGATTTACAGGAACAAAAAAGCCAAATGTTTCACTTTATGTATTTTTTCCCTCTGATTCCTGTTATCTCGTTAGACATTCCGAGGATGACCAGGGGGTATATGATGACATAGGCCTAGGCCTAGATGTAAAACCACCTCCCCCACCCCCAAAACACCCAGGTAGCTGGGACAAAAGTGGTATGTCTGAAAATAACTGCTATTTTACCATGAACGCATGCAAGAGATTCACTAGCTATTATGAATTTAGGGCTGAATCGTGATGACTCTTAAATCGTGAATGTATGATTTATGTGAAAGCTTGAATTGTATACACATATAGTATCTCAATCCATCATCCCATAATGCATGTATTTTACATGTTCATCGCTTGTTCATGCATGTCATTAATAGTATCTTCTGCTATTTCACCCACAGACTCCTGGAATGAAAATAGTTCTTCACAAATAGATGAGGTGAAAAATTCTGTGTTCCTATTCTGTTTACCATCAGTGAACATCAATGCAGAACACTGCTTTTGAATTACTTCTGAAATACTGTTCTTGAAAACATGCATTTCATGACATTTACCTTGAATCTATCTTCTTATTCCTGGCTGCAGGGGAGCGATGAAAGTGAGGTCTATGATATGATTGATAAGTAAGTATAGTATTGAAATACAACTTTGATCCCCTGCCTACATACAGTACGTGGTATCTTGGGTTTATGCTTGTCTGACAAGTAGACAACTCAATACCTGGCATAGCATACTTTTAACAGCCCATATCACAAGGCTAATGAAAAACATTTGAATAGTCACATATCTGTTATAACATGTTTATATGGGCGTAATAGGTGTCTACTTCAAATAATATCACTGACCCGTCAATGTCTCTGTCTTTTGCCATCTCAGAGGCAACCAACAGGAGGGGAAAACCACAAGTTCTGATAAGAATAAACAGAGAGAGTTGAGGCGGCAGCAAGAGCAGGAGAGGAGAGAGCAAAAGGAAATACTGGAAAGGGAAAACAAATACAGAAAGAAATTCAAGGTGATACGCCACATTTCCATGCGCTAACAAATCCAGAAATCCCCCCAAACAGTAACGTTTGTCATAACACACTTGAATACCAGTGTTTTGGAGATGGTGCTGCAACCTGGTCTCAGAGCATTTTGTATTATTCTGTATTTAAATCCAAGACACTCCATTTAGTATGATATGTTACGTTTCGTATTTATTTGTGGATGTCCAAAACCTATTTTGTGTGATATGTTACGAATTACAATTCATATTATATGTTACAAATTTGCAAAACATACAATATGTTATGAATTTGCAAAACGTATGATATGTTACGAATTCTAGCTAGGTGGCTAGGTGGCTAACGTTAGCTAGGTTAGGGGTTAGGGTTAAGTTTAGAAGTTAGGTTAAAGGGTTAGGGGAAGGGTTAGCTAAAAGCGTTAAGGTTAGGGTTAGGTTTAGGGTTAGGGTTAGCTAACATGCTAAGTAGTTGCAAAGCTAAAAAGTAGTACGTAGTTGAACCTTTACTAATTAGCTAAAATGCCTTAATTAGCCATCTGTATTATGTAACCATACCAAACATAACATATCATTCTAATTTGAGTGTCCCGGATTTACATTTACTATGTTACGTCTAATCTATGAGACCAGGCTGGGTATTTTGGAACACACCTGTAATAGATCTCTGTGAGCCTTTTTCATATGGTGTTTTGCCATATATGGAAATACAGTAATGTTATCTCACATGCAGAACAGACATCTCATTAATCTCTGTAGTCTACAAACACCACTTTACAACCCTCTGTATTTATTTGTACCCTTCCACAGCTGGGGACTGGGGACATAGAGGTCCTTCACATGGCCAGGGTTCGACACAACTGGCAGGGGGGCAAGCAGGATCTAACTGTTAGGCAGGGAGACAGTGTGGAGATCTTACGGGTTAAGAACAATCCTGGGGGCATGTGGCTAGCCCGCACACTGACTGGCACCTGTAAGTAAAACACTATTTAGTTCTATAGAACTAAGGGACAGTTCGAAATTTACTGGGGTGGGGTGGCTGGTCCAAAATAGGGGAGGGTTGTCTAACTTTATTTTTTTGCTTTGGGGAGGGTTGTTTGATTTTTTTATTGGGCACAGGGGAGGGTAGTGCATTTTTTCCGCTTGTTTACAGTCCCCATTTTGCAGGCTTTACTATATAATTTCTTCCATATAGCAAAATCTCCTCATCTGCTTGCATGCGCCTCCCCTATCAAGGTGTTTTGATACTTCCCTTAAGCACTACGCTTTTCTGCACGCTTAGTATACAGTCAACTCTATCTTGCCCATCTATATATAGTGACAATAGTGGTAGGTGGATCGTTTGCCCAGATCTGCAATTGGTTAACTAGCAATCATATCACACATAAAAACATTCAAATCTGCACCAATTTTCTATATAAATCCACAAGAACATAGAGGAATAGCTGATAGGCAGCGGAGAGCCCAGGTGCGTCATTGCACATGAAAGAACAGTCAAGACATGAGACACGCAGCTCAAAAAGCTATCTTATTGATATATATATATTTACTTATTTTTGCTGGCTCCCCTCACTTTTCAAATAAATGTATCCGTTATACAGTTCATTATATTTGTATGGCCTTGTACCTAGACTAGCCTACAACACCACAGTGCAATGAATATTGCATCATTGTTTTCAAGTGAGTACAATTCAGTACAATTCTACTCTAGGCTGTAAACTGCAGTGAGCATGTAATTTGAATAATGGCGCAAAAGTTCTGTTATTTCAATATTTCATTCCATTTGGATCAGTTGTGGGTCTACTCTCGACACATTACAGGACAGTCTGGCTGTATTTTTACTTCTGATACTGATGCACTGTCTGTTGCCGGTCATCATTCTCCCATGTCGTCCAAGTGGCCATATAGGTATATGCTCCCAGCAGGCCCAGTTATTCAGGAAAGCTTAACACGCGTTCTGCCTCTGAGAGCTATTCCTCGACCTCGAACCTAACGCTTTAATATAGCAAAAATATTTGTCATTTAACTTTTAAAATGTACTACCTTTTATGTGTGGCATAAACACAACTAGTCACAATGTTTTAATCTGATTAGGCTACTTCAAGTCTCCTGTAGGCTGCCTACGCATGTCCATCCACTCCACTCTAATATAATTCCAGCATCCAAACTGCGCCCCAGCCATTAGATGAATGGAAAGAGACATCTGTTACAAAACATCAAAAAGTTGAATTGCATTCAGAGATTGTCAAGCCAAGCCTTCAATACTGATAAGGGAGGGATGAATTTTCTGTTTGTTGAGATTGGCATATTCTATTTGATTGTGGTGTTGAAAACGCAAACCATGATGAAGCGCTCAAAGTCGGTAATCGGTATGCAGTTAAGCGTTGCTTATTGGTTGTGTGTGGTGCATTGGCACAGAAACCCAATTATAAATGTAGCATCAAAATGTTGAAAATGTGATTTCCCCCAAGCTGATAATTGTCTGCAGCCAGCTCTCATCATAGTGTAATGAGACAGGCAGGGAGAGTGAGCTCATCCGTGGTGTTCGGCGAACCCTCAACCTTCTGGCCCATAGCCCTGCTTGGTATCGACTGTGCCACAAAACCATGCTGAAGTGGTCAAGTCAATATCCAAATAAACACAAATTATTTTAGAGTTCATTTTATGAGGGGGAAGGGTGTGCACGTTCTTTACAGTACAAGGGGAAGGTCATGTGAAAATATTTTAAACCTTGGGGAGGGGGGTGCATTTTTTTTATTACACCTGGAGTTGGACAAGCCCCACTCCCCGCTCCAGTAAATGTTGATCTGTCCCTAAACAATTCCATATATGTTCCATATTTTATACTAGTTCCATATTTGCTGTGACAATGCTGAAAACCACACATTTCATGTACCTAAAGCTACCAAAAGCCATTAATGAAGTGTTGTTTTGCAGATGGCTACATCATTAACACATGTGTGGATGTGGACTATGAGGAAGTGAAACGTAAACTCAAACTGTCCAGAGCCCCTGACCCCTCACTGCCACCACCACCACCTCCACCTCCTGTCTCTTTTGAGGACAATGACATCTATTATGATGTCGACTCCTCAGATAACATGAACAGGTAGCCCTCACATGCACAAATACACCATGTTGCTTTCACTTTGTCTGTAATTGAAACAGTGTAACCTGAATGCAAGTGATTGATATGATTGATATGTTTCTCTCTTACAGCAGCATGACTCAGGAGGAGGGTAAGTGGAGCTGTGAATGACCATTTTCCATTAAGTTGTTCATGTAGTATGCTTATGTTCATATATTTATTTATTTATTTCTCTCTCTCTCTCTCTCTCTCTCTCTCTCTCTCTCTCTCTCTCTCTCTCTCTCTCTCTCTCTCTCTCTCTCTCATCCAGATGACTATGATGATGTGCAAGGAATACCCAATGACTTCCCCCCTCCACCTCCTGAAATGAGGTATTCCTCATATACAGTACCTTTGAATTCAATAAAACATTTACAAACAAATTCAGATACACAGGAGGGTTAGTCAAATGCCTTCCTTTGTCTGTGGTTTTTCGTAGTGTGATGTTGCTTTAATCGCTTGCCAAATTTGGCCTGTATGTTTACTTAAAATATGAAAATGAAAGCTTGTATATAGTTTATCTTGTCTGTTGCATGTATTGCACTGTATATAAATAAAGTAGTTGCTAATGGCTAAAAATAAGAAAGCATAAATAAAAACTACTTTTGTGATCAGACAAAAAAGGACATGTTTGTCTTTATGTTCCAGTCTAGATCCAAAAATGAGAAAGAAACTGGAGAAAGACGAACAGGAGTTCAGAAAAAGGTTTAAGGTAAATCTTAGTTTGCTCTTCTTGCATATCTGTTGAACTGTTGAAAATTGCTTTTACCGCAATTCATGTGCACACATTCCTCTGAAAAGCACAATCACTAGTCGCCTAATAATATGACATTACCAAGTCAAATGAAAAAATAAACATCACTTTTATTTTGTTCTGTCAGTTTGAGGGACCGATTAAGGTGTTACACAGCATGATGGTTGACGCAAGTGTCAAGAAGGCAGGAGGGAAGGATCTAACTGTGGTTCAGGGAGAGATCCTGGAGGTCATTCAACTCACCAGTGACAAGAAAGCCCTGTGTCGCAATGAGCAAGGGAAATGTATGTGAATACATCGCCCTCTTGTGAAAAGTTTCTGTAAAAGTTAGTTGTATATCGATTAGGCTACTCAGCAATGTATGTTTGTAGTACAGCCTTATCAATCAGAGATTGCAGAAAATTCCCTGTTTTGATTACTTTGTCAGCATGAGTGTCATTATTTTAATAGTTCATTCATTTTCTTTCTCTCACAGATGGATATGTTCCCAGGGTTCTTCTTCTTCAGGCGTAGGTTTCTTATATATTTATTAAACACAATTATTGGTAGAATATGAATTCAGAATAGCCATAGTCCCTGTTATTCAGTCACTGGTATCATATTTTGCTGCCTACAACTGTGTCATAACATTCTGGTTAATATGGTTTTCAATATTCCTTTTCAGGGAAGGGGAGGATGTTTACGACGATGTTGATCATATTAACGGTAAGTTATTTTTGAATGAATCATGCTTACTGTAAATACATTTATATTTTAACTGTCATATTATGAACTTAGCTCTGGGACACAACATCGGGAGTCACAGACCCCAGATGAGCTCATGTAATATAAACTGAACAAAAATATAAATGCAACATGTAAAATGTTGGTCCCATGTTTCATGAGCTCCTGAGTGGCGCAGTGGTCTAAGGCGCCGCATCGCAGTGCTAACTGTGCCACTAGAGATCCTGGTTCGAATCCAGGCTCTGTCGCAGCCGGCCGTGACCGGGAGACTCATGGGCGGCGCACAATTGGCCCAGCGTCGTCCAGGGTAGGGGAGGGAATGGCCGGCAGGGATATAGCTCAGTTGATAGAGCATGGCGTTTGCAACGCCAGGTTTGTGGGTTCGTTTCCCACGGGGGGCTAGTATAAAAAAAATAAAAAAAATATATGTATTCACTAACTGTAAGTCGCTCTGGATAAGAGCGTCTGCTAAATGACTAAAATGTAAATGTAATGAGCTGAAATAAAAGATCCCAGAAATGTTCCATAAGCACAAAAAGCTTATTTCTCTCCAATTTTGTGCACACATTTGTTTACATCCCTGTTAGTGAGCATTTCTACTTTGCCACGATAATCCATCCACCTGACAGGTGTGGCATATCAAGAAGCTGATTAAACAGCATGATCATTACACAGGTGCACCTTGTGCTGGGGAAAACAAAAGGAGCGTGCAATTGGCATGCTGACTACAGGAATATCCACCAGAGCTGTTGTCACAGAATTTAATGTTCATTTCTCTACCATAAGCCGCATCCAACGTCGTTTTAGTGCAATATAACTGCATTATGCTGCAAATACTGCGTCCAAAATAACACTGTTTTTTTAACTGCAGTAATTTTGCAGTGTAACTGAATTCTGCAGTTACTGCGTCCAAATTTCACAGTCAACTGCAGTTACTGCACTTTTACTGCAGTTTCAAAACTGCAATCTTTTTTTGTAAGGGTGAAACTGAGGAGTAATTCTGTCTGTAAGAAAGCCCTTTTGTGGGGAAAACTCATTCTGATTGGCTGGGCCTGGCTCCCAAGTGGGTGGGCCTATGCCCTCCCAGGCCCACCCATGGCAGCACCCCTGCCCAGTCATGTGAACTCCATAGATTAGGGCCTAATTTATTTATTTCAGTTGACTGATTTGCTTATAGAAACTGTAACTCCGTAAAATCGTTGAAATTGTTGCATGTTGCGTTTATAGTTTTGTTCAGTATATATACAGTAGGAAAAGTACAAGGAGTTAACCCCTTTGTTGACCTCCTCTCTCCTCTTTACAGATATCTATGACAATGACAATGTCTAAGATCACACAATCAACTGAAACCCTTTCCCTTTCCTGACCAATATGGATCACCAATACTGACTGGACTGACAATTTAATGCTCGTCTTCAAGGGAGACACACACACACACACAAATGTCCTAAGAATTGAAACAATCGTGGCATGATTGTTGTTTGCTCGAATTTGCTTGTAGAACTATTTAATACACTATACTTTGTTCATGGCTGGGCTTCTTGAGATGAGTTGGAAAAATAAATATTTTTTTGTCAATTGTATTTTGTGTATTATTAATATTTTATTAGTGTACTCAACAAAATTATCCTCCCAAGAATTAGAAGAAGGATTTAAGAAGATGATACATTTATTGATATGCTGCTAAATTCTCATGGAATTTATTACCCAAAGCTACCCCCTTTCTCACTGCATCTTTGAATATGTGATCTATTACTACTGCCTGAATATTACAGCAACACTTCCTGTTCAAAGTACAACACCATTTTTCTCAGGGTGACAGATAGTAGAGGAAACCTGTTTTTGGGACTAGTTCACACAACTTCGTGTGGACCTTCATGCTGAAAAAGATGACATCTGTCACGTGCATTTACAGATCGTTGTTACTTTGACGCTGCAGTTAACACGGACGGGATCAATTTGATTACCATTCGAGTGAGCATAGCTGCGTGCACCTGACTTTCAGACCGCTACTAGTGTGTTTACATAATGCAAAATTCCTTGGAGTCGCTTGTGAATGTGCTTGAGTCGTACAGAGGAAGAGATAAAGTGGTAAGTGTAGCACCAAAACATTTAATAAAAAATCTGATGTAGTATGAATACATACTACATTCAGTTATTTCATCTTATTTTAAATATGACAATTAATAAATGTTGAGTCATTGCCCTATTTAAATGAAGTTGCATACCACGTCCTATAAAATAATATAATATAATGGCCTTGTGTTTTGTGTGATATTTGTGGGCAGATAAGGACACTGTGCTATGGGTCCCAGCTGGTTGGTGGGGTTCTGTCTGAGAAGCCAGGGCTGTCATCTGCACAGCTTGGAAAGAGCCTCCTACTGTTCTCTGCACAGCTAAGCCACTGTCGGACTGTACTTAGACTCTTCGATGATCTCTCCATGCTCACATACTCACAAAGCTATGGTCTTGGAGCCGGGGTGAGCAAAGAGTCTATAGCAGTGTTTCCCAAACTCGGTACGCGTTTTGGTTTTTGCCCTAACACTACACAGCTGATTCAAATGATCAAAGCTTGATGATTAGTTGATCATTTGAATCAGCTGTGCAGTGCTAGGGCAAAAACCAAAACGTGCACCCCTTGGGGGACCAAGTTTGGGAAACCCTTGTCTATAGGCTTGGACCTTTCTGTCAAGACATAATAGATTTCCTTTATTGCTATGTCCAGTAATGCCCTGTATGAAAGATTTCTGAAATGACGTAGCCAGCCATCACCTGTGTCTCAAGACGTGGCAATAGCCCCACTTCAATATCAAGGCATGTCAGTGTCAACACACAATTGAAACCAATTAAAGCCAGATTCCCCGTAGTAAGATATTGAGGGCCAAATACTTAGCATAGACTTGACACTTTATTTAGATTGACATGCATGTCCCTCTCTCCAGGAGGAAGATTCTGCACTGCGCTTGATGTCTGTGCTGAATAATGTGGCTGACCAGCTGTATTACCCCTGTGAACATATAGCGTGGGCTGCCGATGCCGAGATCATCAGTGCCAAGTCTGACAAATGGTGGCTACTAAGCGGTATACTCTGGGGAGTATCTCTGCTTTTAGGCGTTTTCAGGTAAGACTACTTCTCCGCTGATGGTTTCATACTACAAAACGAATCTGAGGCACTCTTCAATCAGTGAAAGTTACAATGTTGTTCGCCTATTTGGCATATGGTGAAAGTACAGAAAACGTTGGTATTATCCTTGTTCTCAGGCTCAATTGCTACTGCATATAGAGAGCGGTTGGGTTCGGAGCTGGCTGGGGGACGAGATTACATTGGCATACCTACAGTACAGATTTCGGCATGGAGCTTTCCTTAGAATGTAGCCTATTGCTTTGGACAGGATTTGAAACACTCAGTGATAGTGGGGAGGCATGTAGAATGGCTATAAGCCAGTTTTACTCACCATACACATTGTCCATTCTAGGTCTATGAGGGTTATCATGCTGCTGAGGAAGAAGTTAAGGAAGTCAAGACAAGGCGACAGTAGGTGAGTCTGGTCAATACTGAATCAGTGGACTTGTGTTGTCTCAATGACAGTGTGTGTCAATGACTGTGTCCCATCACGTAAAATGTGTTGATGGAATCTTGGCGTTCCCAATACATTTTCATTACATCAATTGGGAGGACATTTCAGGTAAGGATGCTAGATAAGTTTGTGTTGCTAAACAAATGAGTGTATATAAATGTATCTTGGGTTTGATTTGTCTCTCTCCAGTGAGGGAACTGTTGCCAGCAGGTGTCAGCTCCGGAGGCAGGTGCGAGGGGAGGTCCTCAGTATTCTCAGCAGCATGGCAGATCTGAGTAACGCCATTCATTGGATGCCCCCTGGTTTCCTCTGGGCAGGACGCTTTCCCAATTGGCTAGTAGGACTTATGGGCACCACATCATCCCTGATTGGCTTGATCCAAATGGGTGCCAGTCAAGCAGTCAGTGCCTAGTCTTATTGCTTTGACAAATCTTTTTTTTACTAACACATTTTCATAACCCAATCAGCATTAGTGGACAATGTAATTTGTTGAAAAATCTACTGAAAATGGGGGAACATTCCAACATCAAACCCTGTTCTGGATTACATCGTTGCGCCCAGTGTTGGTAATTAACGGTTTGTTTATCACTGTTCTTGCCAAAGCTCCACAACCAGATGCAACAGTTGACTATTATCTGTTTTAAACCGCTACCAACTGTTCAGCGATGTTGAACATAGGCCAGACTTGTTGATACTAGTAGGAATACAGTAAAACATGGGAAGCTCTGTCAGCCTGTGCTTAAGTGGAGTCATGTTCAGCTGGCCTACTGTTTCTCCTAGCTATGCACTCCAATTATCTGTCATGATTCTTAGTATTTCTCACATAAACCCATGGAATGTGAAGTGAAACAATCTAGAATATCTATTACTAATTTTTTATTAGAAAATGTATGAATCTATTAATCCACGGATCATTCAGGATGAATGAAGATTGTTTATTTGTTTTTGTTAGATTTTTTTGGGCAGAATTTTGAATGTTAGATATTAACAATATTGCTGTAACATTAATTGTTTGGCATTTTGGCACCAATAATCTCATTTTTTGTAAAATATAATCATAACTTTGGCTCAGAATAGCAATTGCCCTTTCAATATGGTAATGCTCATAAAACCAATCTAATACCTTGAACACAACATTTATGTGGCTACTATTTCAACCACTGAAACAGGCTGGACATGTTAATTGGCTATCAGTTGCTGTGATCAGTGTCAAATTGCAATTTGTATGGTGAATTGTAATTTTCATGTTCATACTTTTCCTAGAATAAAATACACTCGAAGTTAAATTACGTAATGTATTTCTGCTGTTTTTATTATTATAGATATGAAGTTCAGTTTGACAATAGATTGAGCATGACTAGAATCAGTCGTACGCATGCGCATTACATCAACGTTGATTGTAGCAGCAGAGAAGACCACCGAAACAATTTACGGCAACTCTGTAGCAGAGATTTATACAACAGCATTTTATGTTTCATACACGAGACGAGTGTAAGTGTACTGCTAATTGACTCAGCACAATGCTGTTACAATTGTAGCTATTACTATGAAGACACTGCTACATTGCCGACTTGTTTCGTTGCAAAAGAGTTCCCAGCCACGTCAACTTCATCCGTGGCAGTAAAGTTAAAGCAGTCATCGGATACAGAATTTAACAGGGTGAGCGTCTGGATCATGTCAGTTACGGTGGTAATGCCAATATCGCCCTAAATGTCTGTAACTTGTTCGCAAACCAGCAGGAAGATTAGTGAAGTTTATATTGGCTGTAAATTAGCTGAAAATTAGCTGAGTAGCTAGCCATACCTGCTAACGCGTTAGCTAAGCGAAGCGAAACGAAGCTAGCTAGCTAGCAAATTAGCTCTGGTGATCCGGCCAGGCTACAACAAGGAGCTATTGTAATTTCTCTAGCTAGCAGCACTGCAGCATAATGAGATGTTTTCAGTGTCATTATTCAGAACACTGGTGTCTTGTATTTGTATGTGTTGAGTAGCTCACCATCATAATTACTTATATGATAATTGTTTTATATTGGTTACAGCTCTATTTTGTTACATATGGAGAACATTTTACAATGATAGTAGCTTAATACGAATACAAACATACCATATTGTCAGGCTAATTACACAAAGGGGACTTAGTGACACATGACAATAACATGTACTTTGAGCCTGAGGCAATAGTAGCACTGCTATCTTGGACATAGGCCAATGAAGAGACAGAAAAAGAGGGTGCTTTCATTATCCCCTGCACCAAAAAATGGGGGATGTGAAAAGCATTTGTACTTTTGGTTAATGTAGGATAGTGTTAGACGATAAACAATTTGATGGTGTAAATATAAACGATTATACATTAAGTAATCTATTTTAATGTATATGTTTTAAAATTGTCTACTTTCACAGTGAAACAGTATATTAACCCCTGTAAATGGCTCAACCTTTGCCGAAACACCCCACAAGGCATTGAAAGGGGCTTGTATGTGGAGTCTCTATCATTTCAACCTGTTGATGTGCTGCCTATGACCCATGCTGCTATCCACAAAATGGAGGCCGATAATTGCCCTGCTGGAAACGAGGTGGAACAAACAGTTTCCTCACCTCAACAGGAGAACACTGCTGTAGGTGATCCAGACAGTCAAAGCCAGACCTCTAAAGCTGCCTCCAAAGCTTCCCACCCTGAATCAGAGGACCTGGACTCCTTTAACCTGATAGAGCCCCCTCCTCTGGACTGGAGGTCGGATGACTCTAGTGAAGCAGGGTCAGTGGAAGAGATGGACGACCCCAGCTTTCCTCCCTCCTCGGTCCCTGTGGACAGTCCAGAGGATGTACGAGGTGAGTCCCTGCCTCCAGAGGACACCAGTGACACTGTAGCTTCTCCTGTGGTAGTCAGCCAGGAGGAGCTAATCTACTTTGCTCCTGAGGATAGAACCCCAACCGAACAGGTCCTGGATCCTTGTGAAAAGGAAAGAGTGGTGGAGGAAGAGAAGAAGGTTGAGGTCCGGAGACCAGGTGACGAAGAGCACACTCGGATCCATCACCTGTTGAACCGACTCCAGGTCATCAGAGAAAGCCCTCTCCCCAGGGACTCAACCTCTGACCCTACACCATCAGCATTCTCTGAGCCCTCTGACTTTGACCCTCCAGGCCCATCTCTGTTGACTGACGTCAGCCCGTTGCTACCAGAGCAGAACCTGAACCAGGCCACGGGGCTGCTGTTCTCTGAGAGTCACCAGAGAGACCTATTAGGGCTGCTGGAGTGTACAGAGATGAAGGTTCCCCAGCCCAGTCCCTCTGACACCCAGGTTCCTCCTTACATGGCCCGGAGAGAGGAGATGGACGCGGTGGTGTCTGTCTCCTACAACCAGGAGGACGGCGAGAGGTTCTGGGACCACTTTGGGAACGGCGGGCGGTTGCGCCACAGGGATGACTCCATGGACTCTTTCCCTGAGGATGAGGTCCCTGAGCCTGTGTGGATGAAGTTAGGGGAGGAGGCTCCAGAAGAGGTCAACGCTGCAGAGAACAGTGAGCGGGTAGGTTTGACATGCTGAAAGATTGTTATTAATGATTAATGGTGGTGTTATTATACTGAACAAAAATATAAACGCAACATGCAACAATTTTCAAATTCATTAGGCCCATATCTATGGTTTTCACATGACTGGGCAGGGGCGCAGCCATGGGTGGGCCTGGGACGGCATAGGCCCACCCACTTGGGAGCCAGGCCCAGCCAGTCGGAATGAGGTTTTTCCCCACAAAAGGGCTTTATTACAGACAGAAATCCTCCTCAGTTTCATTAGCTGTCCGGGTGGCTGGTCTCAGATGATCCCGCAGGTGAAGAAGCCAGATGTGGAGGTCCTGAGCTGGCGTGGTTACACTTGGTCTGCAGTTGTGAGGCCGGTTGGACGTACTGCCAAATTCTCTAAAACGACGTTGGTAGAGAAATTAACATTACATTCTCTGGCAACAGCTCTGGTGGACATTCCTGCAGTCAGCATGCCAATTGCACATTTTAGTGGCCTTTTATTGTCCCCAGCACAAGGTGCACCTGTGTAATGATCATACTTTTTAATCAGCTTCTTAATATCCCACACCTGTCAGGTGGATGGATTATCTTGGCAAAGAAGAAATGCTCACAAACAGGGATGTAAACAAATTTGTGCACATCATTTCAGAAATACGAATTTTGTGCGTATGGAACATTTCTGTGATCTTTTCTTTCAGCTCATGAAACATGGGACCAACACTTTACATGTTGCGTTTTATATTTTTGTTCAGTATAGTACCAATTATTTTGCTGATGATTGGTTTAAATGAGCTGTGTCTTTTACTTTGTTCAATAATCATTGACCTCTTCACTTACAGGGCACAGAGGACCACCCAGCCTATAAAGATGGTAAGCGTAACTTAGGCTATGTAATACTTCTGTGCTTCTTTTATTGGGGTCTCAATAATAATAATAATAATAATAATAATAATGCGTTTCTGATAAGTCACTTTGTTTTTCTGTTAGTGCCTGGCCCCTGTGACCCAGATGACCTCCTGGATGGGGTCATATTTGGGGCCAAGTACCTGGGCTCCACCCAGCTCAAGTCTGACAAGAACCCCTCCACCAACGCCCGAATGAAACAGGCCCAAGAGGCTGTGGACAGGATCAAAGTGTGTTTACTTTTGGCATTTTAGTCGTTTAGCAGACGCTCTTATCCCGAGCGACTTACAGTTAGTGCATTCATCTTAAGTTAGCTAGGTAAGACAACCACATTTCTCAGTCGATTGGGACCGCTGGGGTTAGAATGTGCTGTGGCAGAACCTTTCGCATGTTTTTTCCCCACTGTGGGGTGGTGCTACAGTCACAGTCATAGTAAGTAACTTTTCCTCAATAAAACAGCTAACAGCAAAGTCAGTGCTAGTAAGAAAAGACAAGTACAATGGTAGGGTGTTTTTTTTTTAGATGTTGTCGGAGGATTGGCAGGGACTCGGCTGTCCTGACGTTAGGGGGAAGCTTGTTCCAGCATTGGGGTGCCAGGACAGAGTACAGCTTTGACTGGGATAAGCGGGAACTGGGAGGTCCAAGAGGCCAAAGGTGCCAGAATGGCTCAGACCGTTCTACTAAAAAGGTGTGATCTGCTTTAGATTGTGTCATCAAAACATCTGCTCTTGTCTTTCTCCAGGCCCCAGAGGGAGAGTCTCAGCCTATGACTGAGGTGGATCTCTTCATCTCCACTCAGCGCATCAAAGTCCTCAGCGCAGACACACAGGTATGACATGGTTTGAATGGATGTCAAAGTAGTTAAGGTCATTCCTTGAATAGCAGTGTCTCTAATTTGAGTCGTACTCGACTTGTACAGTTGAATAGTCAAGAGAATTCTGTAACACAGTTTTTCAGCTTTCTCCCTTCTGAATGGCTGACTGCTCCTAGATATATAGCGGTTGCTGTTAGACTAACCTGGCCGTCTTCGTTGTTAGACCCAGTGGGAATGGATCTATCATGGATATTTTTCATGAAAGTGTTAGTAAACTTACACCTAAAGTGTTAGTAAACAGTAAATGTTTCCATACATTCATCCCTCCTGTTTCTCCTATAGGAGGCCATGATGGACCACCCTCTCCAGATGATCTCCTACATCGCAGACATCGGCAGCATTGTGGTCCTGATGGCTCGCAGGAAGTCGGCCGGGGGCCGTAAAGGCCAGGAGGGGAACCCCGCTGGGGCCAACTCCCCCGGGCCACAGAAAAAGTGCTGTATGATCTGCCATGTGTTCAACTCCGATGATGTGAGTCAGCCAAGCGGAAACCATACAACATTATGTCCAATAGGTTTTCTGTGGGTTTATTTGGTTGAAAATAATTAGATTGGGTTGAACTGGTTTTTTAAATTTGTATATCCGGTGCCAGTCTTTTTCTGCAGTACTTGAGCCAACTTGTTGTTGTCTTGTCTAAGCAACTAGGTAAACCAGCTTTGTTGAATACAGAAACAAACAGCCTGGCACTCAGGTTAGTTTTCATGCTAGGAGTCGCTAAACAGGAGGAAACACTAATTACCAGTTCATTACTGTTAGGGTTAGGTTGAGGTTTGGGATAGGTTATGGTTAGGTTTAATAATACGTTAGCCACAGCCTATTTTGGCTTCATGAAATACTCTGTGAGAAGGAACAGGTATGTAAAGGATTACCAAACTGTTGGCTGATGTCTGAACACGCCCACTGTCTCTCTCCTGCATGTAGGCCCAGGTGATCGCTCAGGCGATTGGCCAAGCCTTCGGTGTGGCCTACCAGCAGTTCCTCCATGCCAACGGCATCAAGGCCAGCGAGCTAAGGCCCAGCGAGTACAGTGACTACCTGGGCACACAGGAGCTCTACAACGGAGACCTGGTGCACTTCTCTGATTCAGATAACATCAGAGAGGTACAGTAACACCCAGCATTTCAGCACCTTGTTGTTAGTACCAGCCGGGGTGTCCTTTTGAGTGTAGGTCTAAAAACACAGTATTCCTCCTACCCCTCAGGGTTTCCCAACCCTCTCCTCGGGGACCACCAGATGTTTCACATATTGGTTGTAGCCCTAAACTGGCACTCCTGAGTCAATTAGTCAACTATCACCATGCCCTTAACTAATTGAATCAGGTTTGCCAGTTCAGGGCGACAAAAACGATGTGAAATGTCTGGGGGTCCCCGAGGAGAGGGTTGGGAAGTACTTGCCTAGATAAGAATCTGTTTTAACATTGTTCATGGAGATAATGTTGTCCTTCATAAACCAAAGAGATATTTGCTTGTTGTACAGTATGCAACAACCACTTACTCTATTGCTCAAGACACTACTGAAACAGATCCATACATTTCATGATTTAAGTGAAATGTACATCAAGGTTGTTTTCAGTTAAGATTTTAAAAAAAATTGAAACTGGGTGAGGTACTCCCTGAACTTGTCCACTAAGAACATAGATTTTTGTTTTCCATTGCAAAAGGTATTGCTACGGTGTTTACCTACTGAACATCACCCAGATGAAATTCCATCTTTCTCTTAAACCACCTTCCCGCTGTCTGTGTCCAGGTGTCTATCTCCAAGGCTCCTGGAGAGATAGTGGGGGTGGCGGTGGTGGAGTCGGGCTGGGGGTCCATCCTGCCCACGGTGGTGGTGGCCAACCTGCTCCATGGTGGCCCTGCAGAGCGCTGCGGGGCCCTCAGCATTGGAGACCGCATCATGTCCGTCAATAGCACCAGCCTAGTGGGCCTCCCCATAACTACCTGCCAGAGTATCATACGGGTAAGAGGGGGTTGTGTTGTGCCTCTGTGTTTCATTAGTTCCTGTGACTGTTGGCTGTGTCTATCGTGTAGTTCGTAGAATGCACACTAGATGGTGCTGTATTGATGAAGTTGAAGTCATAGAGCAGTGTTCCCCAACTGCGGCCCGCAGGTGATTTTATTTGCCCCCCCATGTTTACTGAGCAAAAATACGTTTGTTTAGATGTTTTAATGTTGGACATAATAGACTGTAAAGACACCAGCAAATCAGCTCCAAGTGATACACATTTTGAAAATCTGTTCCAAAGTATTCCCATGCATAATAGAGAAATATACACTGAGTATACCAAACATTAGGAACCCCTTCCTAATATTAACCGATGCGCCTGGCACCTACTACCATACCCCGTTCAAAGGCACTTAAATATTTGGTCTTGGCCATTCACCCTCTGAATGGCACACATACACAATCCATGTCTCAATTGTCTCGAGTCTTAAAAATCCTTCTTTAACCTGTCTCCTCTCCTTCATCTACACTGATTTGAAGTGGATTTAACAAGTGACATCAATAAGGCATCATGGCTTTCATCTGGATTCACTTGTTCAGTCTGTCATGGAAAGAGCAGGTGTTCCTAATGTTTTGTATTCTCAGTGTACGATTGTATACAAATGTAAGCAAGGTTTGAAATGATTGTTTTAGTCAAGTATTATATCTGTTTGGGCTTCTTGCGGTCAATTTGCAGTCTACAAGTTATTTGTAATTATGTTCCGGCCCCCTGACCATCCACTGTAGAAAAAAAATCTGCCCGCGGCTGAATCTAGTTGATGATCCCTGTCATTGAGACTGATGCGGGTGATGTGTAGAGGGGGAGAAGAATTGGTGGAAATGTTTGCTTTCTAAAATATTATTTTGGCATGAGGTTGGACTTGATGGTAGGATGTTTGATTTGTTCACCTAATAGTGTTTTGTTAAATGTATTCTACGCACATGCACGGATGCACACACACACAATACCCATTCTGTGAATGCCTTTCATCATGTAAGAAGCATAGAATGCAGTTAGATAGTGAACGGATACTTTAAGGTGACATAGAAATTTATGTTTGCAGACATCTCTCCAGTATTTGTATGATGTATTTACCCCTTTTTGTATTTATAAAAGGATTTGAAAAACCAAGCCGAGGTGAAGCTCAGTATCGTCCACTGCCCTCCCGTCACCATGGCAATAATCAAGCGACCGGACCCCAAATTTCAGTTGGGCTTCAGTGTGGAGGACGGCATTGTAAGTGACAGTTAGTTTGTATATCATTTTACTATACATTTTTATTAAACAACTGCCAGACAGAATCCCCAAACAGGATCTAACATTCAGGTTATTAATGTTTTATTTATGTCAATATTTATTTGGCTCAGGCCCTGTCCAGTCAGTAGTGAGTAGTATGCATTTGAGGTTATTTTTGTTTCTCACCTCGAACATGGTCTTGATTAAAGTTAATCTGAAATCAATGTGGTCTGAAACAGAATTTTTGATTGAATAGTACCTGTACGGCATCCATTTTAGGAACTCCATAGTAGTAAAGCTAAAATGGTCAATTGCCCACTTTCATAGCCTTACTTCACAGCCTTCAATCACCTCAACTCTCTCACATATCTTTTCAATCTGTATTTTTCTATCTTTCTCATACCCTTGTTGCCTTGAGCAGATCTGCAGTCTGATGCGTGGAGGGATCGCGGAGAGAGGTGGCATCCGGGTCGGACACCGCATCATTGAAATCAACGGGCAGAGTGTGGTAGCCACTCCTCACGAAAAGATCATCCACATTTTGACTAACGCAGTCGGGGAGGTGAGAGGAATTCAACCCTAACTCAGAAGCAATAGATTTAACAGACTTTCATTTCAAGAAGCCTACTTTCTCTTTGCTGACAGAGCATTACTCAGTTAGTCAATTAATTGGTCAAAGAAATATTAGCATTGTCATTCATAAGTGTTCATCTTTCTGAACAGATTCACTTGAAGACCATGCCAGCCTCTACATATCGCCTTCTAACGGGACAAGATACGCCAGTATTTCTCTGAGAGAACGGAGGAGAGAATGCTGCTGCGCTCACAAGCAAACGAGCTATACACATGCCATTTTGAAACTAAACACATGCCATTTTGAAACTAAACACATGCCATTTTGAAACTATACACATGCCATTTTGAAACTATACACATGCCATTTTGAAACTATACACATGCTCACTCACAGCCTCATTGGACTTTTTTTAATATGCAATTGTACTGCATCAGCTGGCTATTGATACACCACTGAACATAAAGGGGTGTCCACCTGTACAGAATATTTGATGTATGTATGTTGGAATTACATGATGCAGCACTTTTTGTTTTTTAAGTATAAAACTGAGTTTATATTTATGGGATGTTTTAAAGCAAATGATAACTAAGATTGGCAATAGGAAAAGTGAGGTTATTTTTCGACTATACTAATTATCTTTCTCAACAGGAACAGCAGTACGTGCAATTCATGTCTTCCACCACCGCTCTTTAGTTGCAGATGTGCCTCCGTTGAACTTGAGTTAATGGAGAGAAGCCTTATTTAAGGAAGATGTCTCTCGTCATTTCGTGCTTCCTGCCTCATTCTAGACAATGTCATTGTGTAACATGCACGTCAACAGGCGACTACATCAGTGTTGCATTATTACGCTATCTTCGAACGGTGTACTATTAATATGCTGAAAGATTTTGTATTTTGCATGCTATTCCCATTTCAGTGCCTAGAAGAATGCATAATGTTGAGTTCTGTATTTGCAGAATCAAAGGTAACTTTTAGCGTAAGAGAGATATATTTTTAATGAATGCAGTTTTGGATGTTTATTACAATTGATCTATCCCAAGCAATTGTTTTTGATTGATTATGGACTGGGGATATGTGTGACTAAACCCTGTATTGTAGGCTGTTTCTCTAATGGTATTGTGTGATATGTTTTGTCGTTCTACCTCCACAGTTTTATATTTAATGCAAAAATTGAAGAAATCGACTCAAAAAAAGGTACATACTAACCCCGTGACATATCGACATCTTAGAATACTCATCATATGTGGGAGTATCAGTATGGGTGTGCATTCTCTGCAATGTAGGGATCTTATTTTGTATAAGTTTCAGGCCTGACCCCACAGTGACAGAGCCGGACTGGAGAGTGATGAGAGGCTCTCAATGCCGTCTAGCACCCAGCAACATTCCTATGATAGGAATATGGCCTGGCCACGTTGGTCACCACAGGTCAATACCTGTTTCATATAAGGGCACACAATAGCAAAACGTTTCGAAAAGTTGTCGAATGGTGAACTAAATATGGATATTGAATCCACTTTTGAAATCAGTTACTGCAGTGCCAACTATTTTTAGCATACACAATTCCTGTTGAAGAATGATGTGTGCTTGCAATATGTCATGCATAATTGTTTATTTTTAATAGGAAGGTGTCTACAAAAAACAAATGTTGGGCTATTTATTATATTGCCTTATTGTACATCTAAGAATATAACCTCTTACTTTTTTCTGTTAAGTAGTAGTAGTCGATCTTGTGTAACACTATCTGTCATACTCCTGGCCAATCGGCTTAATTTGTGTGCCAAAATAGAGGTAGAATTGGCTATGTCATTAACCCTCAAAGTTCCAGAATCGGGAGAAAATGGCAGCCATATTGGTCAGGGAGAAATCCAAACCAGTCTATTTGGAATTAATGGCAGTCATAATCCTGATTTTACTTATGCAGGAAGATAAAAGTAAGGCATGTAATATATCTGAAATTGTCTAATAGAATTATTGACAACATAAAATATTGTCATATAATTATAAATACATTTTATAGGGATTTTATACACATTTTCTGTATAAAACCATTCATTAAGAAAGCTAAATCCAAGCTACTTTTTAATCTGACTGCTGGTGATCCTTCTAAATTTTGGGAAACAATAAATGCACTGAAGCATACAAATGTATCTTCCCTGCCTAAGCAAGTAATGTCTGACTCTGGCATCATAACTGAAAAGAATGGGATAACTGATGCTTTTAATCATTTTATCTCGGCTGGATTTTTATTTGAGAGAAACTGTGGTTTAATTTACCTTGGTCAGTCAATTGACAGTTAACCCGTCAACTTCTAGTGAATTTTTGTTTTCATTTCAACAATTTACTATCTGTGATGTGCTAGATACCTTAAGATTGATGTAAAAAAAGGTACTCTGGGGCTGATATGCTTGATAAAAAATTTCTGCAGCTCTCTGCCCCCCTGATTGCTGAATCATTAACCCATATTTTTAACCTCACGATTATATCTGCTACCATCCCCAAAGTTGGAAGGCGGCCCATGTACTCCCCCTTTACAAAGGTGGTGACCCTTGTGACCTAAATAATTATCGCCCTATTTCTAAACTTTCTTGCCTAGCTAAAATATTATAATCCTTGATTAATTCTCAGCTAAGTTCTTTCTGATCTTTGAAATGTATTCTAAATGTACATCAGTTGTGTTTTAGACCAGGTCATAGCACTATCTCTGCTGCATCCCTAGTTATAATTGATGTATGGATAAAAGGCAACATTGTGCTGCCCTCTTCATTGACCTGTCAAAGGCTTTCGATACTGTTGATCACTCCCTCCAAATTCAGAGGCTTTCCTCAGTTGGCCTGACAGAACTCAATGTGTATCTACTGATGGTGTTAAATCAGGTTTCCTGGATATTACGAAAGGTGTCCCGCAGGGGTCGGTTCTGGGTCCTGTACCTTTTACTGTTTACATGAACAATATAGACTTGTCTGTAAAAAATTTAACCTGCACTTGTATGACAATGATACTGTTGTGTATGCTATTGCCCCCACGGTTAACCAGGCTCTATCTGAACTTCAGTCTGCCTTCATTGTATTACAAAAAAAGTTTGACCTGAAATGAGTATTGAATGCAGGTAAAACGATGTATATGTTGTTCTCTAGAGCGCATAAAAATAACTGTACTTTGGATGGTGTCCATATTGATCATGTCCCAGCTTACAAATATCTGGATATATGAAAAGCTGTCTTTTAAAAAGCATATTGATGAGTTAAACTGAGAATAAAAATGGGCTTCTATAGAAATAGGTCCTGGCTCTTGCAAAATAGTGAAAGCAGATTATTCAGTCGACGTTCCTATCTGTCATCTATATGAATGCAGCTGCCTCTTTCTTCATTAAAGCCGTTAGATACAGTTTATCATAGCGCGCTGCGCTTTATTACAGGCGACAATTTTAATACTCATCACTGCATTCTCTACTAGAAAGTTGTGTAGTGTCGAGTCAATGTTGCTAATTATTGCTGTTAAACAAAGGAGTCCGCTTATACTGAACTTTGATCATAAGTTTTATTCATATCACAAGATTTCAGCATAAGTGTACAGATGTATATAGCATCCGGAGAGCAGTGGTTCCCAAATTGCAATGTCTGCTCTGCTCTTCTTCGTCTCTAGCCTATACTCATAAGATATACAAAAATATGGGTGGCTCCCTCTACTGTCCAATCACCTGTCTTCAACGAACAGGGGTGTCACTACAAAATGGCTCCCTCTACTAAATAAACATCCTCTCAGGTTCCACTTAAAACCTTATCAAAGTCATAATCTTCATATACTACAGTTGGTTGGCCCTCTTTGATGTCAAGTAGGTTGATACATTGCTATTTTTTCATTTTAAAAGCCCTTTTACAAAAAGTCTCACTGTACCTAACATTTTTACTGAACTTTAGACATGAGTTACCACACCCAGTCTCAGGGATGGTTAACTCTGGAAATTCCTTTGGTCACTGATTTATTTAGGTAAATCAGCTTTTAGTTTTTTTGCACCTTATTTGTGGAACAATCTTCAAATTGTTCGTAAATGTGATGTTTTGGTGCCTCTAGGGCAATTCAGAAAGCTGACTGAGGACCTTATTACTGATGAATGTTTGTTTTTTATGACCGTTTTTTTTCTGCTTGCGTTTTGTATTCATATTGGTATGTGTATTCTGTAATTCAGGGCTGATCTGTTGTGGTGAATGATGGACGGAGTCAGGCGCAGGAGTAAAATAACCGGATGCAGATTTATTCCTTCCAGACATACAATGCGCCTACAACGGCAATCGAAACAGGTACAGGGGAAACAATCCTCCCTGACCAAACACAGTCTCAGAAAATACAATAAATGTAATGACACGGGAAAATCAACCCTGGCAAAATAAATGAGGAAGTATCTCAACCGAGCTATTCTCCTCCCACATATAACAATCACTCACAAAGACAAGGGGGCAGAGGGAACACTTATACGCAGACTAATTAGGGGATGAGCACCAGGTGTGTGTGATTGACAAGACAAGACAAGTGGAGTGACGAGAATGGGAGCGGCAGTAGCTAGTAATCCGGTGACGACGAACGCCGATACCTGCCCGAACAAGGAGGGGAGGCAGCCTCGGCGGAAGTCGTGACATCTGTAAAAGAGACCTTGGACTCCTTGATAAAATAAAGGTACAAAAAATTATAATATTGCCTCTAAAATATTTGTAAACCGACTATAAATGTCTCCATTTTAGTTTTGAAATGTTCGGTTATATTGCTTTATTCTACACCTAAAAATATATTCCTTTAACTTTTTCTGTTATTATGTATTCGTAGTCGACCTTGTGTAACACTGTACGTGTCATACTCCTGGCCAATCATCTTCATTTGTGTACCAAAATAGTGGAAGAATTGACGGTGTTGCAACCAATGAGACAGGAAACCGGTTTCTGTGAGGCCTGTCATAATCCTCCTTTAGCCAATAAACATCCACCAGTGGGCGTAAAGTCTGTAGATTTCATCTCCAATTACAAACACTTGAAATACACAGTTTACGTCAATGCGGTACCGAAAAGACTTATTTGGGACATCTACACTGATAAATAGGAATACTGTCATTCATGCAAAAGGTGAGCATATTACATTCTAGTCCCTGGATGCCTCTTGAGGCTAAATTACCTAATTTAATCCTTAATACTGCGTAGGCTGCTTTATCCGACACACGTTAGCATCACTTCGGGAAAATAGAATGTTCAGTTGTTATATTCTGTCAATTTTTGTAGCTATGATAACATGTGTATAACCAGTCATTTATTTTAATGTATCATAATTGTCAATTTTTATAGTTTGATTGTATAATAATTTTCTTTAACAAAAAACATTTTTGCTGACTCGTTTGAATGAATACCACTGGTATACAGCCCTGTAAATGATGACGTTTAATTTAGTTACAATTTGATTAATGAAGACCTTAATTTTAATTGAATTAATTAGTAATGAATGTCTAATGAACGTGTTAAGATACATGTATTGAGTGATCGCTGTGTAGTGTAGCATTAACTGGTATGGCATGTTGTTGACATACTTTCTCTACCCCAAAATATGTGGTCATATCCATTGTCATAAACATTTAGTAATGTCTCTCTTATTAATTTTAGGGTGCAGTTTTAATATTTTATTTGAGCCCGGTCAGTTGATATTCTCTATGGGGGAGACCGGGTTGGCTTAAGTAGGCCTATTTGTCTGCTGACCACCTGTGTCATTCATCCAGGCCCCAGCTGGGTTCTCAATTGAACTGTGTTCTGTACAGTCATTTCCATGTCTGACATCAGCCTTACCATTTTTATCTGGTTGTTGTGCAGAGGTTTAAAGAAAAGGAACTCATTGAGCATGTATTGTGATGTCCTATTAATTTATTTGCACATTATGGTAATAAGCATGCTATAAAAGTTTACTGCGGATAAAGTGAATAGTTGTACACAGATGAATGCACACATAATAGCTTGACACTAGGGGTAGGCCTATGAAAAATTCCTGAGGTGAATTTGCAAGTGAAATCACTTGTGTGTTTGCTGGTGAATTAATTTAGATGACACAATGCTGTTTATCAACAAATGATAGGACGTGGAAGCATTTGTTGAGCAAAAGTTAATTTAGAAATCTCAGAATCACGTAAACCAATTGGGATAATGAGGATTGCAGGATCAACCTAGGGGGGAGTCTTGAGCAGATTTAACGTTGTCTCCTCCGTGACATAATAGCATAGTATCCTCCTCTTCATGCTATGTCATTGTGTTTTTGTTAAATATTTATCCTCTCCAGTATTAGATAACATTACTCTCAAAGTTTTCCAACTGTAGCTACACTACATCTGTAAAGTACAAATGTGTAATTAAAAGAGCTTGTTTATTGTCTGGATTAAACTGACCTGTCCTGATCTATCAGTGTCTTCAGACTCCCTGTGAGGATGTAGGATTTACAGGACAGTGTGCTCCCATCTGTACCTGAATTAGCCATGTACTGTGGAAATAAGGAATACGTTAAGATAAGAAATATCCATATTTTTCTGCCTGTTTTACATTTCCAAGTGGAGGTGCTAGAACTGCTGTTGTGTAGTTCATTATCTTTGGTCAGAAAATAATTTTTTAGTCAAGACACAGGTGTCCAACTGTTCTCCCTCATGTTTTGTTCCTATAGTGCTGCACTATGGCTTGGTAGCACCTTGCAGCACAACATGGGGATTGGGACTCAGCTCTTGCTCCTGCTCTGGAAGAACATCACTTACCGCAGGAGGAACAAGGTGGGAACTGAACTGGCATGTGTTCAGTGGTGTAGCAGTAGTTGGCCCTGCATCACGTTAACAGATGAAACTAGGATGTAAAGAGCCAACATGTCTCTATGTACCACTTGTCTTATGTATTCTAATTCTGATTCTAACGTTCCTATTGAACATGTCCCCTTTTTATCTTTAATGAAATTGATATCCATGATGTAGCCTAACTAATTAATGAGGCCTTTTTTACCATTAGGCTACAGGTGCAATCTGTTGTCTTAAGACCCCTAACATAAACTAACTTTAAGCATCAGTTGTCAGAGCACCTTACCGATCACTGCACCTGTACACAGCCCATCTGAAATTAGCCCACCCAACTACCTCATCCCTATATTGTTATTTATTTTGCTCTTTTGCACCCCAGTATCTCTATTTGCACATAATCTCTTGCACATCTAGCATTCCAGTGTTAATACTAATTGTAATTATTTTGCACTATAGCCTATTTATTGCCTTACCTCCATAACTTGCTACATTTGCACACACTGTATATATATTTTCTGTTGTATTTTATGACCTTATGTTTTTTTTACCCCATATGTAACTCTGTTGTTGTTTTTATCGCACTGCTTTGCTTTATCTTGGCCAGGTCGCAGTTGTAAATGAGAACTTGTTCTCAACTGGCTTACCTGGTTAAATAAAGGTTAAATAAAATAAAATAAATAAAAAATAAAAGGCAGGCATCAAATGCAACGGTAGCTACTAGCCACTATTAGCCTAATGTGTGTGAGGATGATGATGTAATCCCTCCCTCCCTACAGATCCAGTTGATTATCGAGCTGGTCTGGCCTCTGTTCCTGTTCCTCATCCTCATCTCAGTGCGTCACTCTCATCCTCCCTACAAACAGAGCCAATGTGAGTGCCCATCAGTCCGTCTACTCTTGTGTTGACAGTGCTGCTCTAGTGTAAACTGCCTACCAGCTCGCTGTGACACACAGGTTAAACGCTCCCTCCCCGCCCCTGAAATTTCCAGCCAACCACATAAGATGATTAGCTAGGTGAGAGTGATTCTGGGTGCCGCCAGACTTTTTCCAACCTGTTCTGCTCTTGATAGACGTCTTGCTTATTTAAAGACTCTTGTCATGCAGTGGGGTCAATCTCGCAGTCATAACGTTGTATGTATTTTAGCTCAATCTCAGTGTTTACATTTGTCCATGGTTCAGGTCATGACTGGTTGCCTCCCACATTAATCCTATCAGTCCCGAGACCCCAGCAAAAACAGGCTTTTATCTGACTTTCATTTATCTGCATGTCCAGCCCTTATATTTAGCCTCACAATGAAGTGGTGTACCCTTTTCTTTTCAGGACAACCAGGGCTACAAGTAGAATACAAAACAATTTGACAAACAGTTGCATTCACGCTCTTTATTGACAAATGTCAATAGACATAAGGTTTGCCAAAGCAAAAACCTGATAAAAATGAATGTATATGAATGCTGTAAGTACAGAAATAGTTTGCTCAGTGGGAAATGAATATCCAACTAGTCAGTGACAACTGTGTGGAGTTTGTGACAGCAACTATGTGAGCTTGTGATCGTCAATGTTTAAAAGGGGTAAGAAGGTGGGACTCATTGGGATAACAATGTTCCGACAGACATCTCAGAGACTAGGCCAATCCTACTGTGTGTGATTATTACACACATCAAAATATAGCACAGGAACTGGGCAACAGTTCAACAGTGTTTTGCATGTCTCAGGTCAATCCCACAGCTAACACGTTTGTGTGTGTGTATAATTCCAGGTCATTTCCCCAACAAGGCACTTCCCTCAGCAGGCACCCTGCCATGGGTTCAGGGGATCATCTGCAACATCAACAACCCCTGCTTCCACAGCCCCACTCAGGGGGAGACCCCAGGGCGGGTGGGCAACTTTGACAACTCCATGTGGGTATACTGCAGTGTATTTGTGTGTGGCCAAAGTACTTAATTGGTGGCTGTTGAACATCAGGGATTTGGGCAAGTTCTGTTTCAATGTGTTCTGATAAAGTGGTCTCAGTCAAATTATGTGATAAAATTAAAGTAAATGATTTAGGGCATAAATTGGAATCAGAACATTTCAAAATGTTTATTTTTTACAAATATATATATATATTTTTTTTATTTTAACTGAATTGGAGTTGACATCTAACCCTACTGCATGCCACTGAGTTGTTTGATATTAAGCTTTAATTGTATAACAATCAAATCCATAAAACTGTTTTATCTCTGACCCCAAGTGTTTTTTTTTCTCCTGCAGACTCTCTCGACTCTTAGTGGACTCCCAGACAATCTTGTCCTACAGTGGTAACCAGACAGCCTTCTCTGGCTTTCAGGACCTTCTAGATACTATACGGAGACTTGGAGAGAGGCCAGGCGCCTGGCCAAGTATGTGGCTGTCTATTCAACATATTTCCCTAGATGGTTGTTGTATAGTTGAGTTTGGTATGTCCAGTTACTTGTTTACATTGTATATTTAATCCAAAGAAAAGTCAAAAGACTAAATCAACCTGTACTTAGGTATGGCTTGGGATGATATATGTGTACTTGAGACGGTGAATATGGATCAGAGTATTCCAGTCCGCAAATCCTCTGTGGATTGTCTCAAACAGGCGCAAACAATGAAAAGTGTCTGTCTGTCCGTGCTGTTTGTTGTCCAGTTATGTCCTGATTCATGTTTTTTGTTTACGTTACAGATCTTCCTGTGGGAGAATACCTGCGAGCCAATCAGACCTTCTCCAACTTTCTCTTGACCAATGGCAGCCTGTCTCCCTCTGCCCTAGACCAGCTGTTTAGGGCTCGCCTGAACTTTCAGGTGGTAAGCACTGCAGTAAACCCCTCCATGACACCACCGTCAACCACTGTAACACATATTGACTCCCAGTCAGGCTAAAAGTAGCTCATGAGTTCAACCAACATAGTATATGCACAGTAAAAACCCCAATTGAATCAGCGGTGAACATAAACCTGATTATTTACATGCCTACAACTCATAATTCATACCACTTACATTATTTAGCAGACACTCTTATTCAGAGCGACTTACAGTAGTGAGTGCATACAATTTCATAATGGTCCCTCGTAGAAATCGAACCTACAACCCTGACGTTGCAAGCGCCATGCTCTACCAACTGAGCCACACGGGAACACTTGTTTTACATCTTCTGTGTCTTTGGGTATCTTCTTGACCACATGTATCTCTCTGTAGGTGTCTCTGGCAGGCACTGGAGTGATGCTGAAGGACATTGTGTGCAATTCCACTGTGCTGAGCCAGTTCCTCACTGTAGATCAAGAGGATTCTATGGCGGAGCTGCAGAGCCAGCTCTGTGCCATCCCAGCCGACTCCCTGCAGCAAGCAGAGCAGCTCTTCCTCTCCCAGCTGGACTTCAGCAAGTTCTTCACGGTCAGTTGAGGTCGCACACTCTCTGTCAGTGGCTGTTCATGTTGTTGTGAAAGGAAAATTATATTGCTGTTTTCCTATCGAAGTGCATGTAAATAAACTTGATATACAAAAATATTTGGCCACTCTTGGAGGAAAATGTAAGTTTATATGCTATAACAATGGGTCACATAGTATGTCTGCTAGCTCTTTTATAGTTTAATTCTACTTGACAACAGGTGCTTATTGTTGTCTTCCAAGAATCAACTACTGTACTGTATGCATGAAGTTAATGAATCAACTACTGTACTGTATGCATGAAGTTAATGAATCAACTACTGTGTCATGTTCTTAGCTGTGAACAAGCTAAGAACATCTGTCTTTCATCCACTGTACAAAATACTCTTTAGTTACAGGGACTACATTAAAGCTCTAAATATGCACTCAATTCACATTAGGAGTGGAAAAGAATAGTCTGGTCTACAGTGAGGGAAAAAAGTATTTGATCCCCTGCTGATTTTGTACATTTGCCCACTGACAAAGAAATGATCAGTCTATAATTTTAATGGTATGTTTATTTGAACAGTGAGAGACAGAATAACAACAAAAAAATCCAGAAAAACGCATGTCAAAAATGTTATAAATTGATTTGCATTTTAATGAGGGAAATAAGTATTTGACCCCCTCTCAATCAGAAAGATTTCTGGCTCCCAGGTGTCTTTTATACAGGTAAAGAGCTGAGAGTGCTCCTAATCTCAGCTTGTTACCTGTATAAAAGACACCTGTCCACAGAAGCAATCAATCAATCAGATTCCAAACTCTCCACCATGGCCAAGACCAAAGAGCTCTCCAAGGATGTCAGGGACAAGATTGTAGACCTACACAAGGCTGGAATGGGCTACAAGAACATCGCCAAGCAGCTTGGTGAGAAGGTGACAACAGTTGGTGCGATTATTCGTAAATGGAAGAAACACAAAATAACTGTCAATCTCCCTCGGCCTGGGGCTCCATGCAAGATCTCACCTCGTGGAGTTGCAATGATCATGAGAACGGTGAGGAATCAGCCCAGAACTACACGGGAGGATCTTGTCAATGATCTCAAGGCAGCTGGGACCATGGTCACCCAGAAAACAATTGGTAACACACTACGCCGTGAAGGACTGAAATCCTGCAGCGCCCGCAAGGTCCCCCTGCTCAAGAAAGCACATATGCAGGACCGTCTGAAGTTTGCCAATGAACATCTGAATGATTCAGAGGAGAACTGTGTGAAAGTGTTGTGGTCAGATGAGACCAAAATCGAGCTCTTTGGCATCAAATCAACTCGCCGTGTTTGGAGGAGGAGGAATACTGCCTATGACCCCAAAAACACCATCCGCACCGTCAAACATGGAGGTGGAAACATTATGCTTTGGGGGTGTTTTTCTGCTAAGGGGACAGGACAACTTCACCGCATCAAAGGGACGATGGACGGGGCCATGTACCGTCAAATCTTGGGTGAGAACCTCCTTCCCTCAGCCAGGGCATTGAAAATGGGTCGTGGATGGGTATTCCAGCATGACAATGATCCAAAACACCCGGCCAAGGCAACAAAGGAGTGGCTCAAGAAGAAGCACATTAAGGTCCTGGAGTGGCCTAGCCAGTCTCCAGACCTTAATCCCATAGAAAATCTGTGGAGGGAGCTGAAGGTTCGAGTTGCCAAACGTCAGCCTCGAAACCTTAATGACTTGGAGAAGATCCGCAAAGAGGAGAGGGACAAAATCCCTCCTGAGATGTGTGCAAACCTGGTGGCCAACTACAATAAACGTCTGACCTCTGTGATTGCCAAAAAGGGTTTTATCGCCAAGTACTAAGTCATGTTTTGCAGAGGGGTCAAATACTTATTTCCCTCATTAAAATGCAAATCAATGTCTAAAAAAATTTACATGCGTTTTTCTGGATTTTTTTGTTGTTATTCTGTCTCTCACTGTTCAAATAAACCTACCATTAAAATTATAGACTGATCATGTCTTTGTCAGTGGGCAAATGTACAAAATCAGCAGGGGATCAAATACTTTTTTCCCTCACTGCATATAGTCCACTGAATTCTGTAAGAAATTGCTTGTTCAGTTTGGCCATTTACTTTTGGATTATATTATTATTGATTTATTTTGGCTGCTGTGATGGAATGAGCAGACCCTCTGCAATTATGTGGCTTTATTTAGAAATGTTTAGGAGAGCTCAAAATTAATTTGTATTGGGGAACACAACTGTTTGAAGGCTTTTAGAAAGCTCATTTACCATAGCATTTGTGCTAATGTAGCATCCTACTCTTAACACTAACATAGAATATCATTGCACCCAATAGAATCTCCAATCTTCAGAGTCTCTAGATGGAAGTAATGGACAACAGATCAAAGCTAAATCCCAAGGTTAATCCTGGCTCTCCTTTCCTCCCTCAGAGAGACAGACTGAGGGCCAACGCCGGTGACCTCCGGGTCATCAGTCAAGCGGTCACCTCCGTGTCCAAGGAGTTGGCAGTACTCATGGATGACGTAAGAACACCCTCTTCTATTCTTTCTTTGACATTGATTTACTGTTGACTGTTTACTTATGTTGCCATCCTGTCTACCATCTGTTGTATGAGTTGTTCTCAATATTACATTCCGTTTTTTCCTCACCTACTGCGGTGTGATGCAATAAGTTATATCTCTTAGGTAAATGAGAATTAGCCATTTCTATAGTTAGCCGTTCAAGCTTGAATACCTGACTTGATAGCTTTGTGACACTGCCTAAAATACATTCTCACTCAGTAGTAGCAAAACAATGCTTCACATCCGCCTGCAGGAAAGTCAATTCATGTTGCATCTCCCCCCTCTTTCTTCTCTCTCCACTTACTTTTTCCTCTCTCTTTTCTCTCTTACTCCCTCCTCTTTTTTCTCGCTAGCTGTCCTCTCTCTCCAGCTTTAGGGAGTTGAACTCGGAGCTGCGTCTGCTCTCGCCAGAGAACCGCTCGGCCCTGCCGCGGGAGAGCTTCAGGGCCTTCTCCAGGATTATGTGTGGCCACCCTGAGGTGGGCGGCGAGAGGATCCCTTCACTCAACTGGTACGAGGACAACGACATCAAGTCCTTTCTGGGCAAGAACGGCACCGAGGACAACAACATGGACAAGGACAACGTCACCAGTGAGAGAGAGAGAGACTTCAAAGTTCACTAGATATCTATAGGGTTTCTGTGTGGTAGCATTAGCTAATACTAATTAAAAGCAAGACTAGCATACCTGTAGATAATCTTGGATGAAAGGGGATTTGATAATTAGATTGACGTGTGTTTACCTCTTTTTGGGTGGTAGATGAATTGACGTATGTTCAAAAGGTGTATTGTTTACAATAAGTGGTGAGCTGATGAGCCAACAACCTACCTACCATGGGTGTTGTGTTGTGTCATGAAAAAATGTATGCACTCACTAACTGTAAGTCGCTCTGGATAAGAGCGTCTGCTAAATGACTAAAAATGTAAATGTAAATGACAAAAATGTAAATGTAAATGTTTCTCCCAGCCCCGTACTGTAAAAGCTTGATCCAGAGCCTGGAGTCCAACCCACTGTCTCGCATCGTGTGGCGAGGGATCAAGCCCCTGTTCATTGGCAAGCTGCTGTACACACCAGACACCCCTGCCGTACACGACGTCATGAAAGAGGTACATCAAGCCTCTGTTGTCTTTTCACACTCATTCCATTCGCTCTGTATTTCTTGGTGTTGTAAAAAAAAATATCTCTATGCTTGTAACTATTTTATTTTTTATTTTTTTATGAAGTTCTGTTTATTTATTTTTTCTTCTATGATCCTCTGTCTTCACCTGTAGGTGAACAAGACCTTCCAGGACCTGCAGATCCTACAGGAGCTGAATGGTGCCTGGATGGAGGTGGGACCTGGTATCAAGACCTACATGGAGAGTAGTGTGGAGATACAGCTGCTGCAGGTACTGCACACATTAAATATGCCAACAAACCTGGAACGGTCTTGATTAAGAAAACGTCACCGCGGATACTGTGTGGCAGTAGCTATGACGTAGCAACCAAAGTGCATGTTCACTATTACTATTGTGTATTGTGTTTATGAAGAGCCTACTGTATACGTTGCTTAAGTGCCAAGTAGTCCATACCATAGGAGCCAGCCAGCCAGGACATCTAGGAATTAGAGCCTCCCTGGTGAGAGTGGTACTATTTCTAGTCTGGCCTTTGAAATCCTCCTCATTTGGCAGCTTTGGCCAACCGTGTCACTTCCTCTGTGTGGCAGGATCTACTGAGGCGGCCAGAGGTAGCCGTGTTGGTCAACCTGCAGCTGGAGGACACTTCCTGGACGGCCAAGCGCATTGCCCGCTTCCTGTCCACGCCCAACGAACCCAGGAAAGAAGGAGCGCCCCCTACCTGGCTGGATGTGTACACTGACCTGAACAACACCATCACCACCCTGGCTCAAGTCACCCAAGTAGCTACCCCTCCTCCTACTCACCCATCTATGCTGTGTATTGTAGATCAGTGGTCACCAACCCTGGTTCTGAAGAGCTTGTCAAGACCTTGATTAGTGTAACGTTTACTTAACCGTTAATTCGTCTAATTAGTTTAGTTGTTCTACCACTGAATTAGAAGTTGTCATTGGCATTGTGTCTATGTGAGTTAGCTTCACTAGTCTACAGTTGTGGTTTCAGCCATTGTGTATGTACTTATTACAGCGTGTATAACTTCACCCATTCCCTCACATTGAGTTACATTATGTTTATCTTGTACATTGTTTTGTACTGTAACATTACTCATGTCCTTGTTATCCTTCAGTGTTTCTCCCTGAACAAGCTGGAGGGTGCTGCCACAGAGGGCCAGATGATTGACAGGGCCTTGGAGCTGCTGGGGGAGAGAGAGTTCTGGGCTGGGATAGTGTTCCTCCTGCCCAACACCACCTCACCCGATCTGCCCCCTCACGTCACATACAAGATCCGTATGGACATCGACGATGTCGCACGCACCAACAAGATCAAGGACAGGTAAACTCACTCAGTGGAACGTTTGATATGAACAATGCTATTGGTTGCATTTTGGGTCATCGGGTCAAAGGTTACTATTGATCCAATGACCCAACATTTTACGGTTGATCCAAGTCTATGATGATTTTAAAAGTTTTTACCCAACTTAAAGCCCACTTCTGTTGAGTTGCTGATACAAAGAATCAGGGCTGGTAACCCTGGCTAGCTCTGTTGCCCCCTGCCTAAAATTGTCTTATCGTAATGTTATGGGTACATTTTCCCCTGATAGACTTCCACTATTGCTTTAGATGCAACCATGGTGCTGCTGCATGACAATACCTGTTGCCAATATAATGTTCCATAAATGTTAATGGGAATGTTTCCCCCCCAGGTTCTGGGACCCAGGCCCAGCAGCGGACCCCTTCAGTGACATGCGCTACATCTGGGGGGGCTTTGTGTACGTACAGGACCTGGTGGAGAGAGCTGTGGCCCGCGTGCTGAGTGGTGTGGAGCAGACCACTGGCCTCTACATCCAGCAGATGCCCTACCCCTGCTACGTGGATGACGTGTGAGTAGGACTTTAATGTTATGTTTAAAAGAGCATTGAAGTCACATTTGGGTAGGATCTCTTGTCAAATTCAGTCTATTGTGAAATAAACAGGATTTGAAAACCTCCTCAACCTCCTCAACTTTTTTCCCCACCCATCCTCCTCTCTCTCAACTTTACCTTTTATTCATGCTCTATGAAACGGTTTCACATACTATCTATTACCCACCCATATTACCTCATACCTGTCTTCCCTTACCTTCTCTTTTCTTCTATCTTGTCTTCTCTCCCTCCTCCAGTTTCCTACGTGTGCTGAACCGCTCGCTGCCCCTGTTCATGACGCTGGCGTGGATCTACTCGGTGGCCATGATCATCAAGGGCGTGGTGTACGAGAAGGAGGCGCGGCTCAAGGAGACCATGAGGATCATGGGGCTTGGTACAGGCCAGCTGTGGGTCAGCTGGTTCATCAGCAGCCTGGTGCCCTTCCTGGTCAGCGCCGGCCTCCTCATTGCTCTGCTCAAGGCATGTGGTCTAATAGCCTTGTGTTGATTATTTAGTCACTTGTTTATTTTGCCCGGGACCATGCACAGCTTGTTTTTTGCTTCAGAGGCTATCAAGCCAATTATCAAGCCATTTTGTATCTGCAGTCTTTTGGCAGGACTGAAAAGTATTCACATCACAGCTATGCAGTTGTCCTAGAATCTTGCCCTGGATTAATGACTGTGTTCTTTACAGCACTCTGTATAGTTTTAAGGCATTGCAGTAGGGATACTGTTTGTTCTCTTCCTCCAGTGGGGGGACATCCTGCCCTACAGCAACCCGACTGTGGTGTTCTTCTTCCTGACGGCTTTCGCTACGGCCACCATCATGCAGTGTTTCCTCATCAGCACCTTCTTCTCCCGGGCCAACCTGGCGGCCGCCTGCGGAGGCCTCATCTACTTCGCCCTCTACCTGCCCTACGTGCTGTGTGTGGCCTGGAGAGACCACCTCACCACCACACACCGTGTCCTAGCCGTGAGTCCTCATAATACACATTCTCACCACCACACACCGTGTCCTAGCCGTGAGTCCTCATAATACACATTCTCACCACCACACACTGTGTCCTAGCCGTGAGTCCTCATGATACACATTCTCTTTGTTGTGTTTTGTTGAGGTTTCCGTGAGTCGTTTTTTGTTGATAAGGAAGAATGATTATGGTACTGTATTTAACCCATTACTTGCTGCTGATAGGTTGCTCTTTTGAATGAGGTTTGGAATCTCAATGGTGTCACCTGTATAAATATATGAAATTAACCCATCCAATCTGGTAGTACTACAAATTCTCATCTCTCTCCCCACAGAGCCTGTTTTCCCCTGTGGCCTTTGGCTTTGGCTGTGAGTATTTCTCCCAGTACGAGGAGCAAGGAGTGGGCATCCAGTGGTTCAACCTGCATTCCAGCCCCATGGAGGGAGACACCTACAGTTTCACCACGTCCATAATCATGCTGCATATCGATGCATGTATCTACGCTCTGGCCACCTGGTACATTGAAGCTGTTTTCCCAGGTAAGGAAATTAATTGTTGAACATTTCTTTTATTGATAACTGCTCTATGGTTTCATGCCATTTTGTATAAAAGTGCATATTAAAATACATATTATAATGAACGTGTAACTGCATTGCCAGTGCACCTTTGCAGAAAATGGCACTTTGACAAACTAAAACTGCACTTATTGTGATGAGGTGGTGTTGAAGGAGTAAGGCGCAGGAGGGTAAATCACAGAATAACAGGCTTTAATCCGCAAAATACAGGTTTACGCAGAAATGCATCAAACACACTCCAGGGCACAAAACAGGCGCACTGGAAAATACTCCCGTCGATACAAAATACACGAGCTCCACCGAGCTTCACTAACCTCCACAATAAACAATCACCCACACAGACAAGGAAGCAGAGGGAACACTTATACAATGACTAATGAGGGAATAAGGACCAGGTGTGTGTGATTGAAGACAAGACAAATGGATTGATGATAAATGGATCGGCAGTAGCTAGTAAGTCGGTGATGCCGAACGCCGAAACCTGCCCGAACAAGGAGGGGAGGCAGCCTCGGCGGAAGTCGCGACAGTACCCCCCCCTTGACGCGCGGCTCCACCAGCGCGCCAACCCCGGCCTCGGGGATGGCCAGGAGGACGCGGAGCAGGGCAAGCCGGAATGCGACGGTGGAAATACCGTAACATGGAGGGATCGAGGATATCCCTCACCGGGACCCAGCACCGTTCCTCCGGACTGTACCCCTCCCACTCCACGAGGTACTGAAGTCCCCCCCACCCGACGCCTCGAATCCAGGATAGAACGGACAGAGTACGCCGGGGCCCCCTCGATGTTCAGAGGAGTTGGAGGGACCTCCCGCACCTCAGACTCCTGGAGTGGACCAGCTACCACCGGCCTGAGGAGAGACACGTGAAACGAGGGGTTAATACGGTAATCAGGGGGAAGTAATAACCTATAAGTGACCTTGTTGACTCTCCTCAGGACTTTGAACGGTCCCACAAACCGCGGGCTCAGCTTCCGGCAGGGCAGGCGGAGGGGCAGATTCCGGGTCGAGAGCCAGACCCGATCCCCCGGTACAAAGACGGGGGCCTCACTGCGGTGGCGGTCAGCGTTGGCCTTCTGACGGCGCGTTGGAGGTGAACATGGGCAGCATCCCACGTCTCCTCCGCGCGCCGAAACCAGTCATCCACCGCAGGAGCCTCGGTCTGGCTCTGGTGCCATGGTGCCAGAACCGGTTGGTAACCTAGAACACACTGGAAAGGCGTTAGGTTAGTGGAGGAGTGGCGGAGAGAGTTCTGGGCATATTCTGCCCATGGCAAGAACACCGACCACTCCCCCGGCTGGTCCTGGCAGTAGGACCGCAGGAACCTACCCACGTCCTGATTTTCCCGTTCCACCTGCCCATTACTCTCAGGGTGGAACCCAGAGGTCAGGCTGACCGAGACCCCCAGACGTTCCATGAACGCCTTCCAGACCTTGGACGTGAACTGGGGACCTTGGTCAGACACTATATCTTCTTGTACCCCGTAGTGCCGGAAGACGTGTGTAAACAGGGCCTCCGCAGTTTGCAGAGCTGTGGGGAGACCGGGCAGAGGAAGGTGGCGGCAGGCTTTAGAAAAGCGGTCCACATGACCAGGATGGTGGTGTTACCTTGGGAGAGGGGAAGATCAGTCAGAAAATCAACACTTAGGTGAGACCATGGTCGTTGTGGAACTGGTAAAGGTTGTAACTTACCAGCTGGGAGGTGCCTAGGTGCCTTACTCTGGGCGCACACCGAGCAGGAGGAGACTTACACCCTCACGTCCTTAGCCAAGGTAGGCCACCAGTATTTTCCGGTCAGGCAACGCACTGTACGGCCGATATCTGGGTGACCAGAGGAGGGTGACGTGTGTGTGCCCAGTAGATCAGACGATCACGGATAAGAGCAGGCACGTACTGTAGCCCATCTGGACACTGAGGTGGAGAGGGATCCGTGCGTAATTCCTGCTCTATATCCGCGTCCATCGCCCATATTACCGCCGCCACAATGCAGGAGGCCGGCAGTATGAGGGTGTTGTCGCTGGGCCTCTCCTCTGTGTCATACAGCCGGGACAGTGTGTCTGCCTTCACGTTCTTTGTACCCGGGATGTATGATAGAGTGAAGTCAAACCGGGTGAAGAATAGGGCCCACCTGGCCTGGCGAGGATTCAGCCTCCTCGCAGCCCGGATGTACTCCAGGTTATGGTGGTCCGTCCAGACGAGAAAAGGGTGTTTTACCCCCTCGAGCCAATGCCTCCACGCGGTCAAGGCTCGGACAACAGCCAACAGCTCCCGTTCACCAACGCCGTAGTTCTGCTCCGCCGGGCTGAGCTTCTTAGAGAAGAACACACAGGGGTGGAGCTTGGGTGGCGTACCCGAGCGTTGAGACAGGACAGCTCCTATCCCAACCTCGGACGCATCCACCTCCACTACGAACGGTAGTGATGAATCGGGGTGGGCCAGTACCGTGGCTGAGGTGAACAGACCCCGCAGTTTGCTGAAGGCCAGGTCAGCCTCAGCAGACCAGCGGAGCCCGGACGGCCCACCCTTCAACAGGGATGCAATGGAAGCTGCGACCTTGCCAAAGCCCCGGATAAACCTGCGATAGTAGTTGGCAAAGCCAAGGAAGCGCTGCACCTCCTTAACCGTGGTTGGAGTCGGCCAATTACGCACGGCTGAAATGCGATCTCCCTCCATCCCCACACCTGAGGTGGAAATGCGGTATCCAAGGAAGGAGACAGACTGCTGGAAAAACATACACTTCTCTTCCTTAGCATAAAGGTCATTTTCCAACAGTCGGGCCAGCACCTTGCGAACCAGGGACATATGCTCGGCGCGCGTAGTGGAATACACCAGGAAGTCATCGATGTAGACCACTACACCGCGACCAAGCATGTCCCGGAACACCTCGTTCACAAAGGACTGGAAAACTGAGGGAACATTCATCAAACCATAGGGCATCACCAGGTTATTCATAATGCCCCGTGGTTGTGCTGAATGCTGTCTTCCACTCATCTCCCTCTCGGATACGCACCAGGTTGTAGGCATTCCTGAGATCTAATTTGGTGAAGAAGCGCGCCCCATGCATTGATTCAATCACTGAAGGAATGAGGGGGAGAGGATAACTAAATCTTATCGTCTCCCTGTTCAGTGGTCGATATTCAATGCACGGGCGCAGACCTCCGTCCTTCTTCTTCACAAAGAAGAAACTCGAGGAGGCAGGTGAAGTGGAGGGACGTACTGTGGGGAGAACAAGTATTTGATACACTGCCGATTTTGCAGGTTTTCCTACTTACAAAGCATGTAGAGGTCTATAATTTTTATCATAGGTACACTTCAACTGTGAGAGACAGAATCTAAAACAACAGTCCAGAAAATCACATTATATTATTTTTAAGTAATTAATTTGCATTTTATTGCATGACATAAGTATTTGATCACCTACCAACCAGTAAGATTTCCGGCTCTCACAGACCTGTTAGCTTTTCTTTAAGAAACCCTCCTGTTCTCCACTCATTACCTGTATTAACTGCACCTGTTTGAACTCGTTACCTGTATAAAAGACACCTGTCCACACACTCAATCAAACAGACTCCAACCTCTCCACAATGGCCAATACCAGAGAGCTGTGTAAGGACATCAGGGATAAAATTGTAGACCTGCACAAGGCTGGGATGGGCTACAGGACAATAGGCAAGCAGCTTGGTGAGAAGGCAACAACTGTTGGCGCAATTATTAGAAAATGGAAGAAGTTCAAGATGACGGTCAATCACCCTCGGTCTGGGGCTCTATGCAAGATCTCACCTCGTGGGGCATCAATGATCATGAGGAAGGTGAGGGATCAGCCCAGAACTACACAGCAGGACCTGGTCAATGACCTGAAGAGAGCTGGGACCACAGTCTCAAAGAAAACCATTAGTAACACACTACGCCGTCATGGATTAAAATCCTGCAGCGCACGCAAGGTCCCCCTGCTCAAGCCAGCGCATGTCCAGGCCCGTCTGAAGTTTGCCAATGACCATCTGGATGATCCAGAGGAGGAATGGGAGTAGGTAATGTGGTCTGATGAGACAAAAATAGAGTTTTTTGGTCTAAACTCCATTCGCCGTGTTTGGAGGAAGAAGGATGAGTACAACCCCAAGAACACCATCCTAACCGTGAAGCATGGAGGTGGAAACATCATTCTTTGGGGATGCTTTTCTGCAAAGGGGACAGGACGACTGCACCGTATTGAGGGGAGGATGGATGGGGCCATGTATCGCGATATCTTGGCCAACAACCTCCTTCCCTCAGTAAGAGCATTGAAGATGGGTCGTGGCTGGGTCTTCCAGCATGACAATGACCCGAAACACACAGCCAGGGCAACTAAGGAGTGGCTCCGTAAGAAGCATCTCAAGGTCCTGGAGTGGCCTAGCCAGTCTCCAGACCTGAACCCAATAGAAAATCTTTGTAGGGAGCTGAAAGTCCGTATTGCCCAGCAACAGCCCCGAAACCTGAAGGATCTGGAAAAGGTCTGTATGGAGGATTGGGCCAAAATCCCTGCTGCAGTGTGTGCAAACCTGGTCAAGACCTACAGGAAACGTATGATCTCTGTAATTGTAAACAAAGGTTTCTGTACCAAATATTATGTTCTGCTTTTCTGATGTATCAAATACTTATGTCATGCAATAAAATGCAAATTAATTACTGTATATTACCCCTGGCGCAGGGACTCGTGACATATGTTTCCATAGCCACTGTTTCAGTCTGTGACAGGGGGTATATATGACTCCTGGGAGGTACAGCGTCTAACCGGAGGTTTATCGCGCAATTCAGTCGCCTGCGTGACAGGGGTAGGGGATATAGACGCTGGACCTACCTGGGCACCAACGGAACCCTACACCTCCCTGAAGACACCCTAACCCTTGCGGCCGAGAAGGGGGTTGTAGTGCTAGCCGGCAATCCCAGAGCGCGACTCGTACCTCTCCAATGAGCTCCTGGAATCATGGTGACTGGTAAGAATTCCTTACAACCCGTACCCTAATGGTCGCTATCAAGTGCTAGGGGTGGAATCAATGGAATGCCTATACGGTGTGCGAATGCCCTGTCCATAAAGTTCCCAGCTGCGCCTGAATCGACTAGCGCCTTACACTGGGGAACTACCATGTGCTCAGGAAAGGAGATGTGTATTTTACAGTGCGCAGCAGAGGGCTCTGAACGAGTGTGGGTGTTCGATACCTGGGGTGATGCGAGAGTGCCCTGCCTGCCGCCTCCAAACCCAGAAGAGCGTGTGGTGAAATGTCACTTCGCGCCACCAGTGTGACACTGGCGCTTTCACTCTCCGCTCTCTTGGCTAGCGGTTCCCCCCATCACCATCGGTTCGGATCCGAGTTGGCCGGGATCGTACCGGGCAGACCTCCTCCAGGACGTCCTCTGGTTGCCAGCAGGTTGTCCAAACAAATGGCCATGTCCACCAGTTGCGAGAAGGACAACATGGTGTCACGGCAGGCTAGCTCCCATCGGATGTCCTCTCGCAGATGGCACCGGAAATGGTCGATCAGGGCCCGCTCATTCCACCCGGACCCAGCTGCCAGAGTTCAAAACTCCAATGTGAAGTCCTGCGCAGTCCTCGTCCCCTGCCTCAGGTGGACCAGCTGCTCGCCCGCCTCTCGACCCTCGGGCGGGTGATCGAAGACCGCCCGGAAGAGGCGAGCGAACTCCCCGTAGTTCTCCAACGCGGCTCCTCCTTCGTTCCACACCGCGTTGGCCCACTCCAGGGCTTTCCCCGAGAGGCAGGAGACGAGAGCGGACACCTTCTCCCGCTCCGATGGGACTGGCCGGATGCTGGAGAAGTAGAGCTCCAGTTGGAGAAGGAATCGTTGGCACAGCGCCGCTGTCCCGTCGAAGTCCCGTGGTCGGGATATCTGGATCCCTCCGGGTGCTGGGGTGTAGGTGGTGGGATCCGGTTGGCCAGCTGGTCTCGACGGATCGGGCTCTCTCCTCTCCAGGCGTTGGACGACCTGAAGAACCCGATCCATCGCTTCACCCAAGCTGGCTAGCATAGTTGAATGCTCCTGGACCCGTTCCACGACTCCAGGCATGCACGTCTCTCCCGCTAACTCCATAGCGGGTGGGTGATTCTGTGATGAGGTGATGTTGAAGGAGTCAGGTGCAGGAGGGTAAATCACAGAATAACAGGCTTTAATCCGCAAAATACAGGTTTACACAGAAATGCGTCAAAAACACTCCAGGGCACAAAACAGGCGCACTGGAAAATACAAGGCACACGGGAAAATACTCCCGTCGATACAAAATACACAGGCTCCACCGAGCTTCACTAACCTCCACAATAAACAAACCCACACAGACAAGGACGCAGAGGGAACACTTATACAATGACTAATGAGGGAATAAGGACCAGGTGTGTGTGATTGAAGACAAGACAAATGGAGTGATGATAAATGGATCGGCAGTAGCTAGTAAGCCGGTGACGCCGAACGCCGAAACCTGCCCGAACAAGGAGGGGAGGCAGACTTGGTGGAAGTCGTGACACTTATACTGGTATGACTAAACACACGTTGTTGGGATCTTTTGTCCAGGTGAATATGGGGTGCCCAGGCCATGGAATTTCGTGTTCAGTTTGAACTATTGGGGAGGAATTCCTCTAGAGGCCGGCATACCCATCCCTCCTGCTCCCAGAGGACAGGGAGGAGGTAAGAAAAACATGCACGCACGCACGCACACACACACACTAAATATGATGTAAAAAACAGACACCATTTTATGGTATTGAGGCTCCCTCTCTGTACCTGTCTCAGATCGAATCGAAGCCGACCCCTCTCACCTCATACTGGGTGTGGCCATCCGCAACCTGGTCAAAATCTATAAGCAAGGCGCCAAGCTGGCGGTCAACCACCTCAATCTCAAGTTCTACGAAGGCCAGATCACCTCTTTCCTGGGGCACAACGGTGCTGGCAAAACAACCACCATGTAAGGGCTGTGCTTTAAGAACCATTGAATCAATATAGTAGAACAGCCAACACCACCATGTCAACCTGCACCTACATTACAGACACATAGAAATGAATGGTGATGTGGTGCTTATGTACAGTAGGTGTTTTGTATTGCTTATGGATGTGTTACGTATTGTCGCGCTAATCGAGGGCCATTGTACTTGTTATGTATTGCTTATGAATGTTCTATGAACCTCTAATTTAGGGTTATCATGATAAAATACACAGTTCATTTCCATTGACAGGTCTAATCTCGGGCCCTTGTACTTGTTGATGTGGTGCTTATGTAAGTGTTATATATTGCTTATGAATGTGCTATGAAGCTCTAATGTAGGGTTATAACTTATAATTGGCGATGTAGTAGTTAAAAAATAAGTGGGTAAACTCTGCCGTTTGTGGTGAGTAAAGTAATTATTTCTATGCTTTCGATGCATTTTCTGCAAAATGTGGGTAAATGTCGTTTACATGCGTTTACCCTCCACTGGTTATAATGCTTAATACACAGTTCATTTCAATTAACAGGTCTATCCTGACGGGTCTGTTTCCCCCCACGGCTGGGACCGTGTACATTAAGGGCATGGACATCCGCACTGACATGGACATCATCAGGAAGACCCTGGGAGTGTGTCCTCAGCACAATGTCCTTTTTGACATGTAAGCCCCTGCTCTACTCTTGAATACATGTCATTAAGTAATGTATCCTATACATGTATTTCATTATATTGTAGTGCATAGGATTACTACCATGTTGACTCCATTTATGGAGTGCTTGTTTTCTATCTTCCTAAGTTAATTAATTCCTTGGTGATGTTAAAGCTGCAATATGTGAGAAATGTGAGTTATAGATCTGTCAATCTCATTGAAAGCAAGTCTAAGAAGCGGTATATCTGTTCTATGTGCGCTATTTCTATGCTTCGTTTCGTTTTTGCGTCTTTTACTTTTAGTTTTGTACACCAGCTGAAAATACAATATTAATTTTTGGGGGGAAAATATATTTCACAGTGGTTTAGATGGTACAATGATTCTCTACACTATACATTGCTTGTTTTGTCACATAAACTGAAATTAGGCGAACTATTAGACATTTTCTTATCAGGAAATGGCGGAGCGATTTCTGCATATTGCACCTTTAAATAACTGATATGACAAAGATGAAAAATCACTAGAGGGAATCTAAATAACGAAAGGCCCCATTCACTTAATCTCTTGCCCCTCAGGCGCCATCTTAAAACATTTACCCACTGTACATGTAAAACAGTGTGATGGTACTCAATCAGCCCTCTGACTTTAACCTTGTTATTCTTGTATAGTCTGACCGTAGAGGAGCATGTGTGGTTCTATGGTCGTCTGAAGGGCCTATCAGGCGACGAGGTGAGGAAGGAGTTGGACACTCTCCTGGAGGACGTGGGCCTGCTGCACAAACGCCACGAACAGACCAGGAACCTGTCTGGTATGGTTCCCTCCCTCCCTCCCTCCCTCTACTATTCGACATCCATTACATATATGGCCTTCAGCTGTATACTTTACAGAATAACATATCCTTCAATAACCACTACATATACAATACCACACTCAAGTTCTCTCTGTGTGTGTGTGTGTGTGTGTGTATTTCTTTCTCTCTCTGTCCCTCTGTGTCTCTCTGTCGTCTCTGTCCCTCTCTCTTTCTCTCTCGCCCCCTGTCTCTGTCTCTATCTCTCAGGTGGTATGCAGAGGAAGCTGTCGGTGGCCATAGCATTTGTGGGGGGCTCTAAGGTGGTGGTCCTGGATGAGCCCACAGCTGGGGTGGACCCCTATTCCCGTCGAGGCATTTGGGACCTGCTGCTCAAGTACCGCAAAGGTTAGCCCTGAACTGTGTCTAGGGTTGCAACATTTTCCGTAAACTTTTCCAAAATTCCCAGGATTTCCAGAAAGCCCTGGTCTAACTTGGTTGCGGAGTTGACCATTTCATGTAAATTCAGGTGCAATATAATGAAATTGAATCTACTTTATCTTTTTCTTCTTCTCTCTCAATCAGATCGCACCATCATCCTCTCCACCCACTACATGGATGAGGCTGACCTTCTCGGAGACCGCATAGCCATCATCTCCCAGGGGAAGCTGTGCTGCTGCGGCTCCCCTCTCTTCCTCAAGGCCAAGCTGGGGATGGGCTACTACCTCACCGTCGTCAAGAAGGAGGGACTGGATACTCGAACCCCCAGTAGTGCCAGCGCTACCAAACTGCCCCCTGCCACAAAGGTGAGTGAGAGATTGTATACCCCTGCAAATTAAATTTCAGCAGGAATACATTGTGTGCTGAGCCCTTAATCACAAAGCGTCTCAGAATAGGATTGCTGATCTAGGATCAGGTCCCCCTGTCCTCATAATTATGATCTAAAAGACAAAACTAATTCTACATCAGCACTCTAACTCTGAGAAACTTTGTGAATATGGGCCCTGAAGACCATTTTACCAGTGCATCTTAATAGTCAAAAGTGTCTCTCCTTGTCTCATTTACTTCTGAGAGGAGAGGAGAAGGTCATTGTAGACTATCGCGATAGGGCTGTGTATACTGTGGGATGCTAAAGGTCATGACTTTTATCACTGAACTATGAACCCTTCGCTGATTGTCTCTCCCTCTATATTTCAGGACAGCGACTCCTCCATGAGTGACGACACAGGATTGGGCAGTGATGTTAGCGGCTCAGGTGGGGTCTCCCACCCAAAGTCACTTAGTGACTTTCTGCTAGCTGTGTGTTGACTTCTCGCCATTATTGAAGACACCTGTAAAAACAACCATTTCGCTTGACTGTTCTGTTCGTCCATAGCTAACCAAATGGCGAGCCTCTACCCCCCTACAGACTGATCTGAGGGGATCAGATAGGTCTACTCAAGTATCTAGTGGGGGGTTAGGGCATGTTTCTGGACAGTGAAGTTTCAAACCTCCTCTTTCTCCCTCTCCCTCTCGCTCACTCCCCCCAACAGATCTGGCCGCCCTGTTGGCCCTGGTGCAGCGTCACATCCCCGGGGCCCGGCTGGTGGAGGACGTGGGGCGTGAGGCGGTCATCAACCTGCCCCAGAAGTCGGTAGAGGACAGCAGCCTGGCCATCTTCCTCACCGAGCTTGACAGGAGGCAAGCTGATCTGGGCATCACCAGCTACGGCCTGTCTGACACCACCCTGGAGGAGGTGAGGAGAGGACACACACGTGTGTATATATACACATACAGTGCATTCGGAAAGTATTCAGATCCCTTTACTTTTTCCACATTTTGTTACGTTACAGCCTTATTCTAAATGGATTAAATTGTTCTTTTCCCCCTCATCAATCTACACACAATACCCCATAATGACAAAGCAAAAACAGGTTTTTTGAAATTTTTGCAAGTATTCAGATCCTTTACTCAGTACTTTGTTGAAGCACCTTTGGCAGCGATTACAGCCTTGTGTCTTCTTGGGTATGATGCTACAAGCTTGGCACACCTGTATTTGGGGAGTTTCTCCCATTCCTCTCTGCAGATCCTCTCAAGCTTTGTCAGGTTGGATGGGGAGCGTCGCTGCACAGCTATTTTCAGGTCTCTCCAGAGATGTTCGATCACGTTCAAGTCCGGGCTCTGGCTGGACCCCTCAAGGACATTCTGAGACTTGTCTCGAAGCCACTCCTTCATTGTCTTGGCTGTGTGCTTAGGGTTGTTGTACTGTTGGAAGGTGAGCCTTCACCCCAGTCTGAGGTCCTGAGTGCTCTGGAGCAGGTTTTCATCAAGGATCTCGCTGTACTTTGCTCCGTTCATCTTTCCCTCGATCCTGACTAGTCTCCCAGTCCCTGCCACTGAAAAACATCCCTTCAGCATGATGCTGCCACCACCATTCTTCACCGTAGATATGGTGCCAGGTTTCGTCCAGACATAACGCTTGGCATTCAGGCCAAGGAGTTCAATCTTGGTTTCATCAGACCAGAGAATCTTGTTTCTTTATGTGCCTTTTGGCAAACTCCAAGCGGGCTGTCATGTGCCTTTTACTGAGGAGTGGCATCCATCTGGCCACTCTAACATAAAGGCCTGATTGGTGGAGTGCTGCAGACATGGTTGTCCTTCTGGAAGGTTTTCCCATCTCCACAGAGGAACTCTGGAGCTCTGTCAGAGTGACAATCGGGTTCTTGGTCACCTCTTTGACCAAGGCCCTTCTCCCCCGATTGCTCAGTTTGGCCGGGCGGCCAGCTCTAGGAAGAGTCTTGGTGGTTCCACACTTCTTCCATTTAAGAATGATGGAGGCCACTGTGTTCTATGGCACCTTCAATTTTTTGGGACCCTTCCCCAGATCTATGCCTCGACACAATCGTGTCTCGGAGCTCTACGGACAATTCCTTCGACCTCATGGCTTGGTTTTTGCTCTGACATGCACTGTCAACTGTGGGACCTTATATAGACAGGTGTGTGCTTTTCCAAATCATGTCCAATCAATTGAATTTACCACAGGTGGATTCCAATCAAGTTGTAGAAACATCTCAAGGATGATCAATGGAAACAGGATGCACCTGAGCTCAATTTCGAGTCTCATAGCAAAGGGTCTGAATACTTATGTAAATGAGATATTAAAAAAAAAAATATATATATATATATATATACATTTGCAAAAAAATCTTTAAACCAGTTTTTGCTGTGTCATTATGGGGTATTGTATGTAAATTGATGAGGATTTTTTATTTATTTAATCAATTTTAGAATAAGGCTGTAACGTAACAATTTGGAAAAAGTAAAGGGGTCTACATACTTTCCGTATACACACTCACACACATATACACACATAAACACAAACACACAGGCGCACACTACAAAGGCACAGCAGGAGGGGGAGGGATGGACATGAACACAGACACCCATGCTGGCGAAGAGGTCAGCATGCTGGCTCGTAATGGGCTACTCTCACATGCACGCGCACGCACACGCACACACACACACACACACACACAGGCACACATGCACACACACACAGGCATTAGCACACACATAACACACACACACATTGGCATACACACAGTCTCTCTCAAATACATTTAGGGCTTAAAGAGGCTTTGCGTCAGAAGCACTATATTACAAAGACATTAGCGTGTAACAGGCCAAAGTTACATGAAGCTCGTCCTAAATATATTCATGACTGCACTAAACTGACCTGTATTTAAAACGCGTCCATTGAACCTCTTGTGGATGGTTGAAACCCAGCTTTAACTAGATTAAGCAGGGTTTACCCGAAATAGTATATTTGCGGAGTTACTGTCACGGTAATGTGCTTAGGCTTACCACGATTACCAGAAAAGATAAGTCAGTAGGTTGGCTCCTGGCAGATCCTTTCTCTCCCCAGAGTTCTGCGTTTTTTGTGTTAGAGTTCTGAGTTCTCGATTAGTTATTATAAACTGTGGTTCGAGCCCTGAATGCTGATTGGCTGACAGCCGTGGTATACCACGTGTATGACAAAAACATTATTTGTATTGCTCTAATTACATTGGTAACCAGTTTATAATAGCAATAAGGCATCTCAGGGGTTTGTGGTATATGGCTATTATACCACGGCTAAGGGCTGTGTCCAGGCACTCCGCGTTGTGTCGTGCTTAAGAACAGCCCTTAGCCGTGGTATATTGGCCATATACCACACCCCCTCGGGCCTTATTGCTTAATTGAAACATGACATTTATCTACTTGATTCCAACACACAACGCAGAAGATGTAAAAAAAAATTAATCTGTTCCTGTAGATCTTTCTGAGAGTGGCTGAGGAGACGGGGGTGGACGTGGACCCAGAGGAGAGCCCGGGACAAGCCGACACGCCCCAGGGGCAGGGTCAAGGACAGGGTCAAGGACAGGGCTTGTCTGGAGAGCCATCTGAGGATCCAGGTAAACACAAGGGAAAACATAGTAACACACACGCATAGAAACACACCGTCTTCTTCCTAGTATGTGTTTTTATTTAACATGGTCAGTCCTCTGTCCTCCTTTCTGACCCTCTTTCTCTGCACTGCTGCCAGGAATGAAACGGCTTCGCAAGCAAGGTACCTACAGTAGTGGGCCTTGTGTGCCTTTTAACTTCCCTTTTTCAGAATTTTCGGGAGCTCAGCTCTCTACCCCTAACCCTAACACTAGTGACAGGGATAACTGCAGCAGTTGGAATAAGAGTCGTTTGGCTCAATTAACAATGTCTTTCTTTCTCTCCACCATGCTTGGGCCTTTCCAACACACAGAGCCCCAGGAGACAGACCTGCTGAGCGGGGATGGCCATGGCGGAATCCCTCTGACCGGGTGGGGCTTGACGTGGCAGCAGCTGCGTGCACTCTTCATCAAGAGGTGGCTGTACGCCCTCCGCAGTCGCAGGGGCTTCTTCGCTCAGGTGCAGACTCATAAACGTGACTTTATTCTCAATTACTGGACCGTATCAAATACAAGCAGGTGATGCAATGAAGAGAGACCAGTAACAGGCTATTGTGACACGATGGCCTTGTGTTTCAGATCGTGCTGCCTGCTGTGTTTGTGTTGATTGCTTTGCTCTTCAGCCTCATCGTCCCTCCGTTCGGAAAGTACCCCTCGCTCCAGCTGCAGCCCTGGATGTATGGCGAACAGTACACTTTCTTCAGGTAAAGGCCTACACCTATTGATCTCAAGTACAGATGTAGGATCTTAATATGTGCCAGTTTGCTACAGCAGGAAAATAATCCTGCAGCAACGGGAAATGTGAATTATTATGTGGATTATAATTAATGGATATTGTTGTAGGGGTTAATACATTTTTCGTAAGGGAAAATCAAGTCTGAAATTTCAAAGTGGAAATGACAAACTTCAGAAGCCTTTTTAAACTTTAAATATACTACAAGTTTTAAGTTTCCTGCATTGCAGGAAAGTTCTCCTGCAACAGGGTGATCAGATTAAGATCCTACATCTGTAGTCTTGAATGGCAATTATCAGATTAACATTCTGATAAATGTTTGGACTGAAACTTCAAGGAGTCGGTTGTTCCCATGCTGTTTGTCTGTCCGACCTGCCAGATTCTGCTTTGTCTTCCTATTTTTCTTTGTCTGTATTGAACCTCTTATCTGTGTGGTGTCCTCTTTCCAGCAACGATGCCCCTGGGGATCCTGCCATTCAGAATCTGCTGGATGCCCTTCTCGACCGGCCTGGATTTGGAACCAAGTGCATGGAAAACAGCATGTAAGGCCTTTTCCTCTCTACTCTCCTCTACTAAAGCAATACGTACTGTAAAAACACAATACTGTGTTACCTGGCCTGTCCAGTTGCAACCACAAAGGAAAGCAGACACATATGTGTTACCATCTTAAAGTGTAAACCACTTTATCTTCATTCTCGGCATTACCAACAAGGTTTTTTCTATTGTCTCAATGTATTCTCAGTTCGTTTGTGCGTAAAGGTGTGTTTTTATGAGAAAGAGGGTTCATTCTATTCTGGACCTGTCATTCACTAGGTTCCCCACATGACTTGTGACTTAGGGCTATTGACTTTTCCAAAGGACACTTCTGGAGGGAAAGTGCGTATTAGCATGAACATAAGATATTTAAGTTGGGCCTATGTTTCCTCGATTGGGTTGGGTGTCGTGGTGTATTTTGCATGTTCACGCTAGGATGTGTCCCCTGCAGGGATCCTCAATGTTTGCAGGAGGAGGAAGGCATGTTCATGAGGCCCCAGATTCTCTACTCCACCTGGCAGCTCTTCAACAGAGGCAACTGGACTGCAGACAAGCCCTCTCCTGACTGTGAGTGCAGCTCTGAGGAGGTCCGCAGGATGCTACCAGACTGCCCCGAAGGAGCCGGAGGCATCCCCCCTCCACAGGTCAATACCGCATAATACACTGTTACTTTATTCTTCTCTATAGTTAAATGTTGCATTATATGTGGTTCTCTGTAGCTCAGCTGGTAGAGCACAGCGCTTGTAACGCCAAGGTAGTGGGTTCGATCCCCGGGACCACCCATACACAAAAAAAAAATGTATGCACGCATGACTGTAAGTCGCTTTGGATAAAAGCGTCTGCTAAATGGCATATTATTATTATTTTATATACTGTTACTTTGTTCTCAGTGGTTAAACATTGCATAAATACTGGTACTGCAACTAATCTCCTGTGACAGACTTTAATTAAAATATGAGAATTTGTTCTCAATGACTTAGCTACCTGCCTAAATAAATGTCTAAAGCTAAATGTCCACATACTGTTGTGTTGTGAATACTGTAACTTGTTTCTATGTTCCACAGAGCCAGAGATTGACAGGGGATATCCTGCAGAATATGACCGGCCGCAATATCTCGGACTACCTGGTCAAGACTTACCCTCAGATAATGAAGAAAAGGTCTCTTACACCTCTCCACTTGATTATTATATTTGTTAGAAAGTATTACTGTGATTAAATCTGTGTTTTTCCACCTTACAAATTCATTTCTCCTTACACTCTTACGATTTCAGCCTAACTTCAGCCACTAAGAAGTGGATCAATGAATTCAGGTAAGTGGAGTGTAAAATCATAGACATCACTTGTCTACAGCCCTAATCTCGGTTAACCCAGAACAAAAATCTTGCATAATTTGGTCAGATGCTGTCCAAGAGAGATTCCCTCAGCCCTAATACATTACAGTCCATCTACTCTGATGTAAATGTGACCCTGTTTCTGTTGTAGATATGGGGGCTTCTCTCTGGGGGGCAGAGGCACTCAGGCTGTCCCACAGGCCTACCAAATGGAGGACTCAGTCATGTCTATACGGTCACGTTACAGAGTGGCACAGGTAGGAGATAGACATCTTTTTACACCCTCAACGTCAGGTTTCCTCGTAGTTTCTGTGTTGTCTCTTTTAATGTCTGGTTCTCTGTTTCTCACAGAATAGCTCATTGGATCAGCTCCTGGGTCGCCTACCAGAGTTTCTGGGTGGACTGAATAGTCAGAACAATGTTAAGGTGAGAGGTCAAAAGATGAGTGTGTGTGAGCACCTGTGTGTGTGGGTGAGTGTATGCATGTGCATCTGTGTGTGTTGTTTCACTGTTACCTAAGCTCTACCTCGCCCCTGCTAGGTGTGGTATAACAACAAGGGTTGGCACGCCATGGCATCGTTTGTCAATGTCATGAACAATGGCCTGCTCCGTGCCAGCCTGCCCCCAGGGCCAGAGCGAATGAAGCATGGCATAACCGCCTACAACCACCCCCTCAACCTCACCAAGGAACAGCTCACTGAAATTGCCATGTAAGCTCAGTCTCTTTCTCTCTAGTTTCCTATTCAAGTCACACCAATAAGACCCATTGTTGATTAAGCCTAAGCTTAGTGTGTCTGAGTTAATCAAATCCCTCTTTTTGGAGTTGCTTTATCCAATTTGCAAGCACTATTGTTGTAAGCACTATTACACAATACTTTTAATGTACAGAGCAGGTTGAGTAATGTTAGTATGAAAATGTGATAGGTAGGAAAACATGATACCACACTGGCCTTAAAAGTCACTAACAAGTTCTGCCATCAAAATACAGAATAAATTGTGCTTACTTTTATCTTACCATACTCATTGCCTCTCTGTTTTCAGGATGACCACCTCAGTAGATGTTCTGGTGTCCATCTGTGTGATCTTCTCCATGTCCTTTGTGCCGGCCAGCTTCGTGCTGTTTCTCATCGAGGAGAGGGTCAGCAAAGCCAAGCACCTTCAGTTTGTCAGCGGAGTCCGGCCCATTCTCTACTGGCTGGCCAACTTCACCTGGGACATGGTTAGTCTCCCACCATCCTAATAGGCTTAACTGATACCCGTTTTGTTAGCACTAATATTTAAGGTACACTCCAGAGTCTTATTCATTAGTTACCTTGAGTTTTGGCTCAAACATAAACTTTATATCAAATCAAATTTTATTGGTCGTGTACACATTTTTCAGATGTTATCCCAGGTACAGCGAAATGCTTGTGTTTCTAGGTCCAACAGTGCAGCAATACTTTTATAGTCTACGTTTCAGAAGCCTGATAATGTTGACAGTAAAAAGTATCCTTTCAATCCTTGTGTCTCTATAATTCAGTGCCATGTACTGTAACTCCAGGGCCCAATTTTTCAAAAGTTATCTATCTGGATTTTGCCTATCGGATAGGATTAAATGTATAGAAATTGAATGAATAGAATGGATGAATCATTGACTTGAATGGGGACTCCTGTTCTATTCATTTTATTTATATGCATTTAATCCTATCCGAAAGGCGAAATCCAGATGGATAACTTTGGAAAAACTGGGCCCTGGGGATAAGTCTCATCTCTATTGAATTGTACTTAACTGGCCTTCTACTTTCTCCCAGCTGAACTATACAGTCCCGGCCACTATGGTGGTCCTCATCTTCATTTGCTTCCAGCAACAGTCCTACGTGTCTGAAACCAACCTCCCTGCTCTGGTCCTGTTGCTCTTGCTTTATGGGTAAGGGCCATGGACACTGGTAGCTTTGTTATCATTGCACTCATAACTAATTATGTTGTATGTGCACTTTATTACATTACATTTAGTAATAAAAAATTATAATGAATTATCTTTTAAAACAACTATACGACAGTATGTTTGCTTGAGTGGTCATATCAATGTTTTTTTAATTTAAAACATTATAGCTGAGGTCTCCTTCTTTAAAGAATGTTACACAGAGTTGTTCTTAGCAAAGTTCATGGTGCATTACAAAACAAATTCCTTGTTACTGATTAGAATTTCTCTTTCCTCCATTTCAGCTGGTCTATCACTCCTCTCATGTATCCAGCCTCCTTCCTGTTCAGTGTCCCCAGCACTGCCTATGTTGTCCTCACCTCAATCAACCTCTTCATCGGGATCAACGGCAGCATCGCCACCTTTGTCTTGGAGCTGTTCGTAGATCAGGTGGGTCATGGAGTTGACTATGATATTAAATCAGGGTTACTGATTAGTCTCAGGGCACAGCTGATATTTAGATTTACACCCAACACTAGTTCAGCTGAGGCTGTCTGGTTACATGGTACAACAGTGTACTTCTTTAAATGTTTTTTTCAACTTGCTTGCACCACTACAATTGCAAAATGTTTGCCAGTGTTAACAAATCAGATGTGAATGTTCTTTTACTATGGTATTCAGACATGAACTTGTCTGTCTGCTTTTCAGCACTTGAACGATATCAACAAGATCCTAAAGAAAGTCTTCCTGATCTTCCCCCACTTCTGTCTGGGCCGAGGCCTCATCGACATGGCTAAGAACCAGGCTATGTCGGACGCTTTCCAGAGACTGGGTATAATAATACTCTTTTTTTTTTTAACCAACTTTTTATTTAGTTTAGTATTTTTTTCCCGAGGGGGGGGGGGGGGGGGGGTTTACAGGTACAAAAAAACAGTCCCCATCCACACGCCCACATCCTCCATCCCCACCCGGAAGCCATGCCTCCCACCCCGCCTTCTTTCGCAGCAGTGCTGCCTGTCAGCAGTAATCTTCTCTGATTGATTGAGAGATTCAAGGGGCTATCATCGTTAAGTAACATAATAGATGCAAAGCATTGAATATTTCAATTCATGCACTTCTAAATGAATTTTGTAACTTTGCCCCAGAAGCATTTAACTGCAGGGCACTCCCACATCATATGAAGCAATGTGCCTACCTGATTTAGGGGACACAGTGAACACTTGGGAGTTGGGGCCAATTTCATCGTAAAATGTTTCCTTGGTGTTAAATAGTCTGTGAACAAACTTAAAATGTATAAATTGATGGTTTGGATTACGGGATGCCAAGGTCATATTTTTCCATATTCTGTTCCAGTTCAAGGGTTATTCAGATTCAATTAGATCTGTGGACCATACTTTTTAATGGCTATCTCAGAATATGAGCGTTCCAAAAGTTGTTCATATATTATAGAGATCAGTCCTTTCGGGATAATTTAGGTGGTCAACTTAGCATAGTTGACCTAAATTGTAAATATAGAAAAAAGGAGTTTCCTGGTAATGTGTATGTGTCTTTCAAATCTTGGAATGTTCTCAAACCATTACTGTCCATGATATCGGCAAGGGTACGGATTAGATTCCACATTTGGACCATTGGGGGGGATGCAAAAGGCCGCCCTCCAGATCGCAAGGCATTATTGTGACATTTTGGAGTATGGGCATTTTATTATTTTATTTTGTACCTTTATTTAACTAGGTACGTCAGTTAAGAACAAATTCTTATTTACAATGACGGCCTACACCGGCCAAACCCGGACGACGCTGGGACAATTGTGCGCCGCCCTATGGGACTCCCAATCACGGCCGGTTGTGATACAGCCTGGAATCGAACCAGGGGTCTGTAGTGACGCCTCAAGCACTGAGATGCAGTGCCTTAGACCGCTGCGCCACTCGGGGCATGCCATTTTGATTCCAAGTTACATTGTTTTTCAATTTTGCGCCAAATATAAATTGTGGGCGCAATAATAGTACCAAAGCGTAGTTTACATTGTTTAAGGGATATATCTGTGAAGGCCACCTCTTCCAGGGCAATAGGAGACACCATATTTCTCTCTATACTCAGCCAGGGGGCAGAAGAATCATGTCTAAACCAATTTAGGATGAGGCAAAATGCCAGTGCCTAGAAATACAATTAAAAGTTTGGTACGGATAGTCTCCTATGTCTTTCCCTCTTTCCGAGATCGTTTACCTTGCCATATAAATGTTGAAACTGCACTATGAATTTTATCCAAATAGCCAGAAGGGGGAGCCATGGGAAGCATTGAACAACAGAAATTCAGCCATGGCAATATACAGTGCTATGAAAAAATATTTGCCCACTTTCTAATATTCTCAACTTTTGCATATTTGTGATACTGAATGTTATCAGATCTTCAACCAAAACCTAATATTAGATAAAGGGAACATAAGTGGACAAATAACACAACAATTACATATTTATTTCATTTATTTCATAAACAAAGTTATGTAACACCCAATTCCCCTGTGTGAAAAAGTAATTGCCCCCTTACACTCAATAACTGGTTGTGCCACCTTTTAGCTGCAATGACTCCAACCAAATGCTTCCTGTAGTTGTTGATCAGTCTCTCACGTCGCTGTGGAGGAATTTTGGCCAACTCTTCCATGCAGAACTGCTTTAACTCAGTGACGTGTGGGTTTTGAAGCATGAACTTCTCGTTTCAAGTCCTGCCACAACATCTCAATTGGGATTAGGTCTGGACTTTGACTAGGCCATTCCAAAACTTCCAATTTGTTGCTTTTTAGCAATTTTCATGTAGACTTCATTGTGTGTTTTGGATCATTGTCTTGCTGCATGACCCAGTTGCGCTTCAGCTCACAGACGGATGGTCTGACATTCTCCTGTAGAATTCTCTGATACAGAGCAGAATTCATGGTTCCTTCTATTAAGGCAAGTCGTCCAGGTCCTGAGGCAGCAAAGCATCCCCAAACCATCACACCACCACCACCATGCTTGACCTTTGGTATGATGTTCTTACTGTGGAATGCAGAGTTTGGTTTTCGCCAGGCATTACTGGAAACATGTCGTCCAAAAAGTTATACTTTTGAATCATCTGTCCATAGAACGTTCTTCCAAGAGTCTTGATGATCATCCAGGTGCTTTTTGGCAAACTTGAGTCAACTTTTTGGACGAGATGGGTCCCATTATGCCTGGCGAAAACCAAACACTGCATTCCACAGTAAGAACATCATACCAAAGGTCAAGCATGGTGGTGGTGGTGGTGTGATGGTTTGGGGATGCTTTGCTGCCTCAGGACCTGGACGACTGTTTTGCTTTAAGACGCCCACAGGCCTCACAAGACTCGTTTGAAGGTCCCCCGGTACCAGTTTAAAAAATGAATGGAAGTATATGAGACAGTTTAGTGCCAAAAATAAGGGGTTAAATAGATGTAAAAAATCAAATAAAAAAATAAGATAAAAATGTTTGCTGATCTTTCTTATATCTCTCAGATATAAAACATACACTTGAGAACAAACCTTTAGAATTTTTTGGGGGACTATCTGTTGTTCCATTAGTGAATCTGTAATTCAATGCGTTTGTATGGGCTAATAGCAAATTAAAGGAAATGTAACATTTTCATCAAATCATTTTTTTATATCTCAAGGTGTCTTAAAATTCTAAATCAAATAGCTAAATGATCCTTGCTATGACTTTCTTAAAATAATTCCATATAGCTTAGTAGACGGTGGCTTCCTCTGTTGAGAGAAGAGGAGTTCTTAATGATAATACGCTTGTCTAAAGATTCAACATCAAATCAGTGCCAACAACATCATCTGGTTTGAGGTCAATTCATTGTTTCCATGTGGGTACCCATGTCCACAGGCACAAAGCAGACGCTGGACCCCCTGGAATGGGACTTTGTGGGGAAGAACTTGTTTGCCATGGCTGTGGAGGGAGTCGTGTTCTTTCTCTTCACAATACTGCTACAGTACAAGTTCTTCATCAACTGCAGGTAGGTACTGTGACATCTGCTGCAAGGACTGTGCATGGATGTCAAAACACATCCTGGCATTTCAGTTGGTAAAATATAATCTCATTCATAGATCCCTTTTCAAGTACTGTGCTTGTCAAATGCATCTTTCCTAATTCTTTGCTCAAAATTATTGCTGATCACAATGTGATTAGGTATATATGGACTGAGCCACTCCGACACAATGTAAAAGCACTTTAAGACCTAGTGAAAAAAGCTACATAAACACATTACTATAGTATTACATTTCACATTTTAGTCATTTAGCCGGCGCTCTTATCCAGAGCGACTTACAATTAGTGAGTGCATACATTTTTATTTATTTATTTGTTCATACTACTACATATTACTATCATTATAGGTGAAATCTTTACAGTGAAACCCATGGCTCCTCTTACTCCTTAGTGTCAGATCAGTGAAATCATAGAAATATAATCGAATTCTATTTTTATGGCCTCAGTTCACGTCAGGTTATCTTACTCATAAGTCTATTCTTCCAGGCCCTGCTCAGAGCCTGAGCTGCCCCCTCTTGGCCCAGAGGACGAGGACATCGCCAGGGAGAGAGAGAGGGTGAAGAGTGGGAAAGCCCAAGCCGATATACTCACCATGATGGACCTGAGTAAGGCAAGTAAAACAAACTTTGGACTTGTAGATGAAAAAGTTGGGTCATCTACTGTATATTTTAGGTTTAAATGCATGGGGTTTAATCTCTAAGGGTTTAAAACGGATGACCCTGTGTTTGTGCAGGTGTACAAAGCTGGCAAGAAGCCAGCAGTGGATCGTCTGTGTCTGGGTATTCCTCGTGGAGAGGTGAGAAATAGAGCTGTGTTTCTGCCAGCCACAAATCTACTGTTAACTCTTTAGAGCACTTAGCGAGGGCATTGGAGTAGCACACTATGAATGTTTTAGATAGGTGTGACTGTGAGTGTTGTGTTTTCTCTGCCTCTCCCTGTCAGTGCTTTGGGCTGCTGGGGGTAAACGGGGCTGGGAAGACCTCCACGTTTCGCATGCTGACTGGAGACACAGCGATCACCTATGGAGAAGCATTTCTCAGTCATCACAGGTAAGTAAGACCAGTTTGATTAGGCGGTCACCATTTACTCCTTAGATATACCAAACATGTTTGCGCCTTTCCTTCCTGCTGTTTTATGACATTATTCATATGCTTAGTAGCTGTGAAAATAAAAGTAAATAAATTACTTTCAATGACATAATAGAGGCAGTGAAAGTGAAATACTGAGTCTAGAAATGCTGTTCTCATATTCATTGTATCCATAATGATAATTCCTACCGCACTAACCCTTCATTATGCCTGTACTCTGTGATATGTAGTGTGCTGACTGAGATGGAGCGGGTCCACCAGCTGATGGGCTACTGCCCCCAGTTTGATGCCATCTGCGACCTGCTGACTGGCAGGGAGCACCTGGAATTCTACGCCAGGCTCCGAGGGGTGCCAGAGGAGTCTGTGGCCAAGGTACTTAACACACACGCACACAAAAACACACACATTACCTAGCAATTCACTCATATCATTTGTCTCAGAAAATGTCCGGAAAAATGTAACTTGTGTCCCTCCAAGGTGGCTCAATGGGGAGTGAAGAAGCTGGGGCTGACCCAGTACGCAGAGCGAGAGGCCGGAGGCTACAGCGGAGGCAACAAACGCAAACTCTCCACTGCCATCTCCCTGATCGGAGCTCCTCCTGTTATATTCCTGGTAGGTATGAGAGAAAGGAATGAGTGGATTTCTAATATAACAGTTGATGCTTTCCTTTTCTCCTATCTCCTCTAACCTACAGTTACGTCTGCACTCCTGTTGTTTATAGGATGAGCCCACCACTGGCATGGATCCCAAGGCCAAGAGATTCCTGTGGAACTGCATCCTGAGCGTCATCAAGGAAGGAAGGGCCGTTGTTCTCACCTCCCACAGGTAGGTGACGCTATTCATGCCAACAGCACACCCTCCCCTGGCCTCGAACGTTGTCTATTCTATTGATGTCTTAACACTTGTACGGTATGAACTTTGGCTTATAATGGGGTGTTTTGCTGTATGTGTGTGAGCAGTATGGAGGAATGTGAAGCTCTCTGCACTCGAATGGCCATCATGGTGAACGGAAGGTTCCAGTGTCTGGGCTCCGTTCAGCACCTTAAGAACAGGTACATGTTTGCTGCTGATTTGACTAATATCATGTCTTTATAAGGTATCTTAGTGTAACATACAGTGGGGGAAAAAAGTATTTAGTCAGCCACCAATTGTGCAAGTTCTCCCACTTAAAAAGATGAGAGAGGCCTGTAATTTTCATCATAGGTACACGTCAACTATGACAGACAAATTGAGAGAAAAAATTTCCAGAAAATCACATTGTAGGATTTTTAATGAATTTATTTGCAAATTATGGTGGAAAATAAGTATTTGGTCACCTACAAACAAGCAAGATTTCTGGCTCTCACAGACCTGTAACTTCTTCTTTAAGTGGCTCCTCTGTCCTCCACTCGTTACCTGTATTAATGGCACCTGTTTGAACTTGTTATCAGTATAAAAGACACCTGTCCACAACCTCAAACAGTCACACTCCAAACTCCACTATGGCCAAGACCAAAGAGCTGTCAAAGGACACCAGAAACAAAATTGTAGACCTGCATCAGGCTGGGAAGACTGAATCTGCAATAGGTAAGCAGCTTGGTTTGAAGAAATCAACTGTGGGAGCAATTATTAGGAAATGGAAGACATACAAGACCACTGATAATCTCCCTCGATCTGGGGCTCCACGCAAGATCTCACCCCGTGGGGTCAAAATGATCACAAGAACGGTGAGCAAAAATCCCAGAACCACACGGGGGGACCTAGTGAATGACCTGCAGAGAGCTGGGACCAAAGTAACAAAGCCTACCATCAGTAACACACTACGCCGCCAGGGACTCAAATCCTGCAGTGCCAGACGTGTCCCCCTGCTTAAGCCAGTACATGTCCAGGCCCGTCTGAAGTTTGCTAGAGTGCATTTGGATGATCCAGAAGAGGATTGGGAGAATGTCATATGGTCAGATGAAACCAAAATATAACTTTTTGGTAAAAACTCAACTCGTCGTGTCTTTCAGCATGACAATGATCCCAAACACACCGCCCGGGCAACGAAGGAGTGGCTTCGTAAGAAGCATTTCAAGGTCCTGGAGTGGCCTAGCCAGTCTCCAGATCTCAACCCCATAGAAAATCTTTGGAGGGAGTTGAAAGTCCGTGTTGCCCAGCGACAGCCCCAAAACATCACTGCTCTAGAGGAGATCTGCATCTGCAGGAATGGGCCAAAATACCAGCAACAGTGTGTGAAAACCTTGTGAAGACTTACAGAAAACGTTTGACCTGTGTCATTGCCAACAAAGGGTATATAACAAAGTATTGAGAAACTTTTGTTATTGACCAAATACTTATTTTCCACCATAATTTGCAAATAAATTCATTAAAAATCCTACAATGTGATTTTCTGGATTTTTTTTCTCATTTTGTCTGTCATAGTTGACGTGTACCTATGATGAAAATTACAGGCCTCTCTCATCTTTTTAAGTGGGAGAACTTGCACAATTGGTGGCTGACTACATACTTTTTTTCCCCACTGTACATGGCACGATCACTGTCAATGTGTAGATATCACACTTCAAATGGGCCTGAACTCAGTGATACTGTGCTTTATAGGCCTTCACTCACCAATGTCATTATGATACAGACATAACCCTTTATCAAATCACATTTTATTTGTCACATACACGTGTTTAGCAGATGTTATTGCGGGTGTAGAGAAATGCTTGTGCTTCTAGCTCCGACAGTGCAGTAATATCTAACAAGTAACATCGAACAATTTCACAACATACAGTGAGGGAAAAAAGTATTTGATCCCCTGCTGATTTTGTACATTTGCCCACTGACAAAGAAATGATCAGTCTATAATTTTAATGGTAGGTTTATTTGAACAGTGAGAGACAGAATAACAACAACAAAATCCAGAAAAACGCATGTCAAAAATGTTATAAATTGATTTGCATTTTAATGAGGGAAATAAGTATTTGACCCCCTCTCAATCAGAAAGATTTCTGGCTCCCAGGTGTCTTTTATACAGGTAACGAGCTGAGATTAGGAGCACACTCTTAAAGGGAGTGCTCCTAATCTCAGCTTGTTACCTGTATAAAAGACACCTGTCCACAGAAGCAATCAATCAATCAGATTCCAAACTCTCCACCATGGCCAATACCAAAGAGCTCTCCAAGGATGTCAGGGACAAGATTGTAGACCTACACAAGGCTGGAATGGGCTACAAGACCATCGCCAAGCAGCTTGGTGAGAAGGTGACAACAGGTGCGATTATTCACAAATGGAAGAAACACAAAATAACTGTCAATCTCCCTCGGCCTGGGGCTCCATGCAAGATCTCACCTCGTGGAGTTGCAATGATCATGAGAACGGTGAGGAATCAGCCCAGAACTACACAGGAGGATCTTGTCAATGATCTCAAGGCAGCTGGGACCATAGTCACCAAGAAAACAATTGGTAACACACTACGCCGTGAAGGACTGAAATCCTGCAGCGCCTGCAAGGTCCCCCTGCTCAAGAAAGCACATATACATGCCCGTCTGAAGTTTGCCAATGAACATCTGAATGATTCAGAGGAGAACTGTGTGAAAGTGTTGTGGTCAGATGAGACCAAAATAGAGCTCTTTGGCATCAACTCAACTCGCCGTGTTTGGAGGAGGAGGAATGCTGCCTATGACCCCAAGAACACCATCCCCACCGTCAAACATGGAGGTGGAAACATTATGCTTTGGGGTGTTTTTCTGCTAAGGGGACAGGACAACTTCACCGCATCAAAGGGACGATGGACGGGGCCATGTACCGTCAAATCTTGGGTGAGAACCTCCTTCCCTCAGCCAGGGCATTGAAAATGGGTCGTAGATGGGTATTCCAGCATGACAATGACCCAAAACACACGGCCAAGGCAACAAAGGAGTGGCTCAAGAAGAAGCACATTAAGGTCCTGGAGTGGCCTAGCCAGTCCAGACCTTAATCCCATAGAAAATCTGTGGAGGGAGCTGAAGGTTCGAGTTGCCAAACGTCAGCCTCGAAACCTTAATGACTTGGAGAAGATCTGCAAAGAGGAGTGGAACAAAATCCCTCCTGAGATGTGTGCAAACCTGGTGGCCAACCACAAGAAACGTCTGACCTCTGTGATTGCCAACAAGGGTTTTGCCACCAAGTACTAAGTCATGTTTTGCAGAGGGGTCAAATACTTATTTCCCTCATTAAAATGCATATCAATTTATAACATTTTTGACATGCGTTTTTCTGGATTTTGTTGTTGTTATTCTGTCTCTCACTGTTCAAATAAACCTACCATTAAAATTATAGACTGATCATGTCTTTGTCAGTGGGCAAACGTACAAAATCAGCAGGGGATCATATACTTTTTTCCCCAACACACAAATCTAAGTAAGGAATGGAATTTAAGAATATATACATATATGGACAAGCAATGACAGAGCGGCATGGATATTATAGAATACAGTATATACATATGAGATGAGTAATGCAAGATATGTAAACATTATTATTAAAGTGGCCAGTGATTTCAATAGGCAGCAGCAGCCTCTAATGTGCTAGTGATGGCTTTTTAACAGTCTGATGGCCTTGAGATAGAAGCTGTTTTTCATTCTCTCTGTCCCAGCTTTGATGCACCTGTACTGACCTCGCCTTCTGGATGATAGTGGGGTGAACAGGCAGTGGCTCGGGTGGTTGATGTCCTTGATGATCATTTTGGCCTTCCTGTGACATCGGGTGCTGTAGGTCTCCTGGAGGGCGGGTAGTTTACCCCGGGTAATACGTTTGGCAGAACGCACCACCCTCTGGAGAGCCCTGCGGTTGCAGGCGGTGCAGTTGCCGTACCAGGCGGTGATACAGCCCGACAGGATGCTCTCAATTGTGCATCTAAAAGTTTGTGAGGGTTTTAGGTGCCAAGCCACATTTCTTCAGTCTCCTGAGGTTGAAGAGGCTCTGTTGCGCCTTCTTCACCACACTGTCTGCGTGGGTGGACCATTTCAGTTTGTCAGTGATGTGTACGCCAAGGAACTTGAAGCTTCCACCTTCTCCACTGTGGTCCCGTCGATGTGGATAGGGGGGTGCACCCTCTGCTGTTTCCTGAAGTCCACGATCATCTCCTTTGTTTTATTTTGTTGAGTGAGAGGTTATTTTCCTGGCACCACACTCCGAGACTCACCTCCTCCCTGTAGGCTGTCTCGTCATTGTTGGTAATCAAGACTACTGATGATTGAGTTGGAGGCGTGCTTGGCCACACAGTCATGGGTGAACAGGGAGTACAGGAGGGGGCTGAGCACGCACCCTTGTGGGGCCCCAGTGTTGAGGATCAGCGAAGTGGAGATGTTGTTTCCTACCTTCACCACCTGGGGGCGGCCCGTCAGGAAGTCCAGGACCCAGTTGCACAGGGCGGGGTTCAGACCCAGGGCCTCGAGCTTAATGATGAGCTTGGAGGGTACTATGGTGTTGAATGCTGAGCTATAGTCAATGAACAACATTCTTACATAGGTATTCCTCTTGTCCAGATGGGATAGGGAAGTGTGATGGCGATTGCATCGTCTGTGGATCTATTGGGGCGGTAAGCAAATTGAAGTGGGTCTAGGGTTACAGGTAAGGTAGAGGTGATATGATCCTTGACTAGTCTCTTAAAGCACTTCATGATGACAGAGATGAGTGCTACGGGGCGATAGTCATTTAGTTCAGTTGCCTTTGCTTTCTTGAGTACAGGAACAATGGTGGCCTTGAAGCATGTGGGGACAGCAGACTGGGATAGGGAGAGATTGAATATGTCCGTAAATACACCAGCCAGCTGGTCTGTTCATGCTCTGTATCATGTGTTTATACAGTTTAACACATGATACAAATCTCCATAAACATTTAATACAGTATCTACACCGGCACTCTTTTAAGTCTTTCAAATCCCACACCTCCCCCCTATTTCCACTTCGTCACCTTTTCCCCACAGGTTCGGGGACGGCTACACGATCGTCCTGCGCCTGTCGGGGACCAATCCACCCAAGCCTCCCGAGGACCCGTGCCCGGTGGACACCTACATCAAGGGCTCCTTCCCGGGCATCGAGCTAAAGGAGAGGCACCAGAACGTGCTGCAGTACCAGCTGCCCTCCAACGCCTGCTCCTTGGCGCGGGTCTTCGATGTGCTTTCCAACAACCACGAGGAGCTGGGCATTGCCGACTACTCAGTGTCACAGACCACCCTGGACCAGGTAGAGGTCATTCAGGGGTCAGTCACGTGGGATGGTTAAAGGTTGAGGCTGGGGGGTTTCCTTCATAGAATCAGTAGCAAAGACTCCAATGTGGTTATGTGGGGAGAGGAGGAAGGGAAGAGGTAGGTTATAAAATGTCAGATTACACTGAAGAGGCTAGCAGTTGTTTGCCAAAATAAGGGAAACACCGACATAAAGCATCTTAATAGGGCGTTGGTCCACCACGAGCCGCCTGAACAGCTTCAATGCGCCTAGATTGGCATAGATTCTACAAGTGTCTGGAACTCTATTGGAGGGATACAACACCATCTTTCCACAAGAAATTCCATACGTTTTGTTGATGGTGGTGGAAAACGCTGTCTCAGGTGCCGCTCCAGAATCTCCCATAAGTGTTCAATTGGGTTAAAATCTGGTGACTGAGACACACACACACACCTTTTAAACCCCCTATGCTCCTTTGAGATCCCTCTTTTTAAAGTCACTGAGATCTCTTCTGCTAGCCATGGTTAGAGATCTGTATAAAATGACGAGACGCTCATGTCTTGTCCCAAAGGCGGGATGGCAGGTGAGACGCATAGGTCCAAAATAAGCCCATAGAAACACATTGGCTGATTTTGGCGAGATTGAAACCTCTCGCTTCGCCTCTTCATCTCTACCATGGTAGCCAAAATAATGGACATTTTTATAGATAAATAATATTATAGATGATCCTAAGCATGATGGGATGTTAATTGCTTAATTAACTCAGGAACCACACCTGTGTGGAAGCACCTGCCTTCAATATACTTTGTATCCCTTATTTACTCAAGTGTTTCCTTTATTTTGGTAGTTACCTGTATAACACTTCAGAATTCATTTTCTACTCATTCACTGTGAGGCACTTAAACAGGGCACTTCTCCTTCCCTCCAAGCACCTACTTCCATTTGCATCTTATCTTAAACCATGCCCCTGTGTTAACCCTTCGATGTGTGTGCATTATCTCCTCTCCCCCACCCTGCAGGTGTTTGTCAACTTTGCCAAGGAGCAGAGCGATGAAGACCGGCTGAGGGAAGTGACGGTCAATGGTGGGACACCAGCACCTCAACCCAGAAGAGTGGCCCAGCCCACCCAACTAGGGCAGACAGCCAAACCAGCCCAAACAACCAAGCCTCCCCAGTCTGTCAAGTCCTCAGACGGCAGACCCAGAGAGACCAAACCAAACGGGGTCACGGACAGTGGCATGGCGATGACAAGCAGGCCACAGGAGAAGCCCGAGTCGAGCAGGGGATCGAGCAGGGGATCGAGCAGGGGAGAGAGCAGGGGAGAGAGCAGGGGAGAGAGCAGGAGAGAGTCGAGTAGTAGGAGGTCAAGCAGGGAATCGTCCGCCAACGGATCCAAGGGCACAAGGGAGACTTCAGGCAATAAGGATCCGACCAGTCTGTTCCTAGTGGGTAGCAACACACAAGACAGCAGTGTGTAAAGTTATTGGGGCACAGCCCCCTGAATGGACAGAACGGGATCTCTGTGCCCCTGTGTCCTCTAGGAGAGGGGAGGGAAGTACTACCGGATAGCTCCTCTAATGTCTGGGTGTGGTGCCTTGTTCATTCTCCATCACAGCTATAGTGTAGTGGTCCAATACCCCCAAACTAGTTGTATTCACCTCCAATTACTTACAGGCACTTTCATGGTTCAGGTCTTTCGTTTATTATTTACTTTTTATTTGGCATTTCAATTTCCAATGAATGATGAAAAAGTGGTGTTCCTCATGTGTCAATCAAAGAGTCTTTCAATATCTTAGCATTTGCATTTTGCCTAAAGCACTTTAACTGAGAAATGCTGCACACAATCTTACCGATGATTTGTTACATTATCGCTGAAGATGTTCAGGGCAACAAAATCATCGTCAATATCTTTTCACATTGGTCTCATGTTTTGCACAGAGACAAAAACATATTTTTTTCTGGTGTCCAGTCACTTTTATTATTTGACGCTAAAAACGTAGTTTACTTGCACTGGCACAACATTGAGATGTACAGTTACCAGACTGCGTACCAGACTCCAAACACTGCCTTCATTAGGTCAACTGTTGTTTTTATATTTGTTTTTTATCTTTCAATTGGGCTCATGTTATACTGAATGGAACTTGAGAAAAAAAATATGTAGCTGTAAATCCAAAGCAGTTTACTACTGTACTGTAGTCTGACGTATTGGCGAGATTGTTACAATAACTGATAGGCATGTGTAGAATATCTGTACATACAATTGAATGTATGGTCTTATGATGTATATTATGCTTGAACATTCATACTTGAATATGTGTGTGATTATTTATGTGTACATACAACTAGATGTATACAGAACATATAGTAATAAAACTTTTAAATGGAGATACATCTATCTTGGGTATTTTGTTCTAGTAATGTATAACAACTTTATTAGCATGTACAATTTTCATCTATTGTTGAGATGGTGATTCATCCATGTTCAAAGGCTTCCTTTGGTCATACTAAGGATGACGGGCAGTTTGGTTCTATTGCAGAGGGAGGCAGGGTTCTGCATTTCATTCTCTGTTATTAGAGTGGTCCCTTTCTTCCCACCGATTGGCTTGACCTCTGAACATCTTACCGTTCCCCTGGGAAAGGTTAAAATAAATTAGTTAGCCATAAAAGTGGCTTCATCTCAATCAATTGCCACAATAGAACAACAATTATCATGAATTCTGACGGGTCTCTGTGCTCATTGTTGGGACGGCTGGTAGGCTAGCGGTTAAGAGCGTTGGGCCAGGAACCGAAAGGTGAAAAATCTGTTGATGTGCCCTTGAGCAAGGCACTTAACCCTAATTACTCCTGTATGTCGCTCTGGATAAGAGTGTCTGCTAAATGACTAAAATGTAAAATTGTTAAAGGATAACCTTCCCATTGTAAGAAGTATTGATGGAACAGTACTCTGTGCTAGAGTCTCCCTGATGCTGGAGCCTCTTCTCTCTCAGGTTTCGCAGCGCGCCAGCCATGAGAAGATGATCAGGATAGGTCAGTCCCCATGTCTCATCTCTCTCTCTCTCCTTCCCACTCGCTCTGCCACTCTCTGAAGCAGGCCTTCTATACTGGACACTGAGATCTCAGGGAGGCGAAACTGGGCAGACCTCTGAATTGAGACAATATGAAGATTGGATGTAACTGCTTCAATGGGGTATTTAATTGCTCATTCAGTATTTGATACACAATGGATTAGATAACTAGCCAGCAGGATATTTAGATGTACCATTTTTTTTTTTATCTCCCTTAGATTATCATTTGTGGAATAAATTAATATAAGATACATTAACAGTGGATTTTGATAAGGTTTGGTGAAGTTTGATGTTAAGTAATAACTGTGTAATACATGAAAGGTGGTGAAATGCAGCTGATCCTTACACATCGGGAGATAATGGTGGTGTCCATCAAAGTGCTGGTCTTCTGCAATAGGATCATGGGAAATGGTGCCTCATTCTCACTGGGTTTTGTCCCCTTGGAGGATTTCACCAAGGCATCTTGGTCTGATACATATATCTGTGGAAGAGACGTGTGTGACACTGGCATTCCCATGCACTCTGAATGTGCTAGTCGTGTAGTAGGGGATGGTTTACTTATGGGTGGTAGTAACATAGGCTTCACTAGACGGCTTGCTTTAGCCCTGTCCAATTCTTGTCTAACGTGGGGTCTCCATTCTTGGTCTCTCGGACGCTGCTCACCAGACTTTGATGTGTTGAAGGTCCTTGAATCTGTGCTTGTCCCAGGTTCCTCTTCATCCAGAGAACCACTGCTTTCCTCTACAGGCTCTTTGGCTGAAGCCAGGACAGGCCATAGATTGACACAGATTTTCACCACTCTATTGTCTAATCTCTCATATGTATTGGAGACAGGACTTCTGGCATTGATGTTGTTTGTGGTTACTTCACAAACCTTAGTTAACTTTAAGGCAGTCTTCCTGGGTTGTACACATTTCACTGCTCCCACAACCATTGGATGAGGTTCAGGTGTTACCCGTTTGTCGCCTATTTCTGGTCTTGTTGCCCTTGCCTTGTTCCTCCGGCCCATTCCTATGTCTACAATTTTGCCTGGAATAAAAGTTCACACTGTAAACATGATGCTCTAATATTATGTAAGCAAAAGCAGCTTTTCTAAAACATGTGATACTAGTATAACTATTAATCTACAAAGGAAAACACCAAGACATACCTGAGAAAGATATCCAAAAGATAAAAGTAGCCTTTTCCCAATTATATCCCCAAACAAAGAACACCTAGAAAGAACAATAGGCTACTGACTATGTCTGTCCGGGTGGGACTGTTTGGGACTCTGTCTTGTAAATTGGCTCTCTTGCCTCTGGAAGGGCACAGTTAAACATTGCTGTTATGGAAACGTCTACAACCTTAACTTTACGAGATATGTTCAGATGTCATTGAAATAGAGCCTACGCGTCTTTTTCGCGTAGATAGCTACTAATAAAAAAGAAACGTTAAGGCGAGAAATAAAGTTATTTTGTAACCAACGTCAACTTGGTTTGACGTTGACACAGAGCCCGTGTTGCTGCGATCAAGATTCTAATGACCTAGAGCTTGTGCCTCGTTTTCGGTTTTGTGAAGGGCGGGGATAAGCTTTGCTGTTGTCTGTCTAGTGTCTACCTACTCTGACAGAGCCAAGCCAGCAAGTGGCTAACTGAACGCGTACTCTATTTATGTGTGTATCGTAGCTATTGTTTTTGTATTCAACCCTCGTTAGTTGTTCTTTGCGTAAGATGGTTGTTTTGACAAATAATAATGAGGAACAGGATATTATGTGAGTGAAAAAGTCTAGCTAAATGGTCTAACTAAATTGGGAACTTGCGAGCTAGCTAGTAGCAATCGACAAGCACATTTGAGTCATTGTTTTCAAACATTGAATATTTGATAAATAGCTAGTCTGTATCGTAGATTTTGCCAGTTAGTTTAGCTAGCAGGTACATTTGTATAAATGAATGCTATATCAATATGTTTGTGCTTAACACTACAATACGGGTAGCTAACGTTAACTAGCTAAGCTTGCAAGCTGGTGTGGTGGTACACATCTAAAATGTGTGTGTAGGTTTGCCGGCTACCGTTGGTGAAGGTGAACTAAGTTTATCACAAATGGCTTGTGTATATGTTACATTGACGCCATTTCAAGTGGCTGACCCTAGTTAGTAAAACTGGTTAGCAAGATTTTTTTGTTGCTCGAGTCGTTTGTGACACCTCTGCTGCTCTCTCTCTGCTCATGCAAAAATATTTGTAGCCAATCGTTAAATTATCTGACGAGACCTCTTCTATATACACCTAGCTATAGCTGTTACTATTGTAACCAACAATATACTTCTTCATGACAGATCATCAAGCAACCTCATTTGCATGAGTCATTTGACAATGATAGGACGTTAGCTACAATGTTGCCATCTGGTCTAAAAGTGGTAACAGTGAAAATCGACCATTCAGAGCTCGATAATTTTAATGGGGCGTGGCTTTGCAATCTGAACCGACTGACCCACTTTTTATGGTGGGGTGTCATGTAACCTACATCTAGCCTACTATTCTGTGGTCAGTATAACTGTAGCGAGATTATTCTATTAGTAAGGCCATTCAATATTAGTTACTAGCTACACTTGAACAAATACATATTTTGTGAAGAGGTCACCACGAACACATCAGTCAACACACTAATTGAGTCCTCATAATCCTTGCTCTCTATTTCTCCCAGCCTGAAAGAGGAGCGCAAATGCACCTCTCTGCCCAACTCCCCAGCCAAACGTGCGTCTCCAACCAAGAAGAAACAGTTTTTCATCAACCAGGCGGTACGCAACTCTGACCTCACACCCAGAGCCAAAGGCAAGAAGAGCCAAAGGCGGCAGGAGAACAGTAAGTTCTCATGTCTGTCAGTGGGAATATTTCACTCTGCTGCAGATGTTGGGTTGCTGCAGATGGTAGATGCCTGTTCATCATAGATTCTTAATACCCACTAGCTTGATTGCAGCTGGTCTGAACGCATTCATTAGTCATAGCCAATAGCCAAACAGTATTTTATCAACATGATTTAACGATGCTGCCTATTCATTTCTTCTCTCCCCCCAAAAAGGTCGCTACCTTGCCAATCTACTTGAAAAAGATGAGTGCTCCAAAGACGAGGCAGAGGTATGCAGTGACCCTGCCCCACCTTCCATCTTCACTGAGGCCTGCACCAATGGCAACTACGTGGAGGTAGGATTCTACTGGTCCCAACAATTTATCTTCAATCAGGCCTCGCTTGTTGCAAGAGAGACTCGCTGAACGTTTTACCACTACTACCCCTAACTACATTTTTGCCCCTAAGCTGTAGCTCATTGTCCCCTTGTCTGTCTCCCAGCAATGGAATGACTTCATGAATCGCTCTGGAGAGGAGCAGGAGAAGCTTCTGGCCCTTCTGGAAGAGGAGGCCAAGAGGAGCAACTCCAACAAGCTCCCCAAGGACCAGAGAGCGGGTGAGAGCCCAGGATCAATGCCTGTCACAATCCCAACATGCACTGCCCTACATACAAAGCTTGTAGCATTATGCTGTTGAAAGTTCATTACCAAGCGTATGTTTCGGTTGATGTGTTTTATCACTACAGGTCAGTAAACAACGATGTTTGCCAGGAAATAAAATCTGTAAATGATAAAAATCAGTGCTTCATTGGTTTAAACATGCTCATTGTCAGGATTTGGGGATATTTGACATTGGGATATTTGATATGAACTGATCACATTTTTCTACTCTGCAGTGAATCCAGCCTTCAGTGCTCAAGACTACTTCCAGAGGATTGATCGAAGGCTGCGTGCTACGCTGAAACGCAAACAAATTCCCATTGTAAGCATCAACATTAATCATTATGAGATTTTAAGACATGTTTGCCAACCATATCATGGGTTAACCAAAGATAAAGACACTGTTATCTGTGCTAGTGACACCTGTCCTCATCAACACTTAATTACACACTTTAACTTCTCTCTCTCATTGCCATTCTCCCCTCTGATTGGTTTAGGGGACACTTGAGGTACTTGAAGAGAACCTTCTCAGTTTCTTTGGTGCTCAGCCTCACTCTGTTTACACCACCAACCTTGGAAGCAGGTACTTTTTTCCCTCTGAAAATGTTCCCCAAACAGAATTATCAGAAGTGTTCTTTAAACATTTGAGAAGCTCTTCTGGGCTAATATTTGGACTTGTATAGATACCAATTATGTGGGAAATGTTGACCCAATTAACAGATTTCCAGTTGAATGAACTGATTTTGTGTTTTGTTTATTAGCTTTGAGAGGCTACTGCTTCATGCCGTCTGCCAGTACATGGACCTTGTTTCAGCAAGTAAGTAGTAGAATGACCATGAAATACAGTGGGGAAAAAAAGTATTTAGTCAGCCACCAATTGTGCAAGTTCTCCCACTTAAAAAGATGAGAGAGGCCTGTAATTTTCATCATAGGTACACGTCAACTATGACAGACAAATTGAGAAAAAAAAATCCAGAAAATCACATTGTAGGATTTTTTATGAATTTATTTGCAAATTATGGTGGAAAATAAGTATTTGGTCACCTACAAACAAGCAAGATTTCTGGCTCTCACAGACCTGTAACTTCTTCTTTAAGAGGCTCCTCTGTCCTCCACTCGTTACCTGTATTAATGGCACCTGTTTGAACTTGTTATCAGTATAAAAGACACCTGTCCACAACCTCAAACAGTCACACTCCAAACTCCACTATGGCCAAGACCAAAGAGCTGTCAAAGGACACCAGAAACAAAATTGTAGACCTGCACCAGGCTGGGAAGACTGAATCTGCAATAGGTAAGCAGCTTGGTTTGAAGAAATCAACTGTGGGAGCAATTATTAGGAAATGGAAGACATACAAGACCACTGATAATCTCCCTCGATCTGGGGCTCCACGCAAGATCTCACCCCGTGGGGTCAAAATGATCACAAGAACGGTGAGCAAAAATCCCAGAACCACACGGGGGGGACCTAGTGAATGACCTGCAGAGAGCTGGGACCAAAGTAACAAAGCCTACCATCAGTAACACACTACGCCGCCAGGGACTCAAATCCTGCAGTGCAAGACGTGTCCCCCTACTTAAGCCAGTACATGTCCAGGCCCGTCTGAAGTTTGCTAGAGTGCATTTGGATGATCCAGAAGAGGATTGGGAGAATGTCATATGGTCAGATGAAACCAAAATATAACTTTTTGGTAAAAACTCAACTCGTCGTGTTTGGAGGACAAAGAAGGCTGAGTTGCATCCAAAGAACACCATACCTACTGTGAAGCATGGGGGTGGAAACATCATGCTTTGGGGCTGTTTTTCTGCAAAGGGACCAGGACGACTGATGTGTAAAGGAAAGAATGAATGGGGCCATGTATCGTGAGATTTTGAGTGAAAACCTCCTTCCATCAGCAAGGGCATTGAAGATGAAACGTGGCTGGGTCTTTCAGCATGACAATGATCCCAAACACACCGCCCGGGCAACGAAGGAGTGGCTTCGTAAGAAGCATTTCAAGGTCCTGGAGTAGCCTAGCCAGTCTCCAGATCTCAACCCCATTGAAAATCTTTGGAGGGAGTTGAAAGTCCGTGTTGCCCAGCGACAGCCCCAAAACATCACTGCTCTAGAGGAGATCTGCATGGAGGAATGGGCCAAAATACCAGCAACAGTGTGTGAAAACCTTGTGAAGACTTACAGAAAACGTTTGACCTGTGTCATTGCCAACAAAGGGTATATAACAAAGTATTGAGAAACTTTTGTTATTGACCAAATACTTATTTTCCACCATAATTTGCAAATAAATTCATTAAAAATCCTACAATGTGATTTTCTGGAATTTTTTTTCTCATTTTGTCTGTCATAGTTGACGTGTACCTATGATGAAAATTACAGGCCTCTCTCATCTTTTTAAGTGGGAGAATTTGCACAATTGGTGGCTGACTAAATACTTTTTTTCCCCACTGTATGTATATATTTTTGTGTGTGTGTACTTTTACCCCTTTGGTAGTTACAGTCTTGTCCCATCGCTGCAACTCCCCTACGGACTCGGGAGAGGCATGCATCCTCTGAAACACGACCCTGCCAAGCCGCACTGCTTGCTTAACCCGGAAGCCAGCTGCACCAATGTGTCGGAGGAAACACCGTCCAGCTGGCGGCCGAAGTCAGTTTGCAGGCGCCCGGCCCGCCACAAGGAGTCGGTAGAGCGTGATGGGGCAAGGAAATCCCGGCCGGCCAAATTCCTTGTCCCATCGCGCTCTACCGACTCCTTGTGGCGGGCCGGGCACCTGCAAGCTGACTTCGGTCGCCTGCAAACCCTCCCCTTACCCGGACGACGCTGGGTCAATTGTGTGCTACCTCATGGGTCTTCCGGTCATGGCCGGCTGTGACACAGCCTGGAATCAAACCCGGGTCTGTTGTGACGCCTCAAGCACTGCATCGCAGAATCCTTAGACCGCTGCGCCACTCGGGAGGCTGAAATATATTATTTCTATAGTTATTTATGACTTTTAAAGCGACACTGACACCTAACCTACGCTTGTGGAAAAAAAACATATTTCTCCAATATTTTGAGTACGAATATTTAAAAAATATGCACATTTTCCCACCAGAGGTTTGTTTCCATCAAACTGACTTGTTGCAGTTTAAAGGCTGTGCGTGATGACGTAGTGCACATAAAAAAAACGTTTGCGCTAAAGTTCTCATGTACCGAATAAAAAACATAAGTTCAATGTGTTTCCATTGCATTTTCCACTCTATCGATGGTTTTGGTACACACACTGTTGCGATAAATGGCAAACTTGCCCAATCTCGTTTTTTTTGCGCATGCTCTTTAGACAACAGTTTGCTGATATAATGGACATTAGGTTATATGATGAGATGGATAAGAGCAAGATCATTTTTATTTGTTAATTGGCAGCTAAGCACCGATCATAATGTCACTAGCATACAAATAAAGACACTCAATATTTATTGGAAAGAAGCAACAAGCTCATCACGTGCACTTTCACCACCTTGTGAAGTGCATTTCAATCTATTTCATCTGGAGCCTAATGTGCATGCTTTGTCAAGTCGTAGTGGGAGGACCATACAACATAGCGTAGTGTGACTGCAAATTTACCTCGACATTATGGTTATTCTATCAAAAATTGCGCAAGAAATCGTTTCCACCTAAATTTGTTGCATAATTCATTTTACCGACACACAAAGATCCCACCATATCGAACAAACAAATTGTCTGTCGACATTTCTGAAATTGTACCAACAGCTGTCGTGATTTCTTTTTTTTTTTTATACGGTATGACTTTACTCGCATAAAAACTGTGGATGGAAATGTGGTTAGTAACATGAAAATAGAGCCCCACAGTGGAGGTGTCATAATACCCATAAACCTTGTCCTAGAGAGATTTACAGTTATCAAAACGTCACACCAAGGTAAGCCTACACAAAACACAGCCCTTATTTTAAGTGTTGCTAAAATCCCCTATAGGAAAAATGAATGGTGTAAAAACGATTGGAACCATTTCCCTGTTTGACCGCTAGGTTTTATGGGTATAATGACATACTGTGGTACTCTATAATGAGTTATGTATTGAGAGATGTTTTATGTTGTCTGTGTGCTGCAGGCTCGGACTGTAACGGTGCTCGTCAGACTGATGTCATGAACAAACAGGAGGGCTTGTTCCAGCCTCCCAGCCCCATGCTCTCTGCCTACCTGGAGCACATGAGCTGAGAGACGGTCACACCGCTGGACAGATGGGCCTGGTTCCATTTCACTCCCTAGCCCCATAAGTGCAGACTTGAAAGGTACAGAGAGGCATAAGTAAGTGTATATAGGATTACTCAAATCTGAGCCTGGAAGTCCAGAGTACTGCTGGTTTGATGTCACTAATTAGCCAGAGATTCCACTCACCTGGTGTCCCAGATCTGAATCAGTCCATGATTTGTTAGAATGAAAATCAACAGTGTTGCTAACATTGATGTCCAAATTTAAGTAAGTTGTAAATTGTGTTGACTCTACGTAGTCCACTCATATGCTTAGTGGATGTTCTATTGCTCTTAACTATCCAATCCAATCCTTCATCTATCTGTGAACTTAAAATTGATGGCCACCAGGGTAAGGGGGCAGGGATCAAAATAGAACTGGGCCAGAGAGGGAGTATGCAGCTCACCTTCTGTATCTGTACTGATGAATTAATTAGCCACTATGAATTGAAAAAATAAAAACAGCTTTAGTGGTAGGACCAGGCTTAAAACCCTTGGACCTTTTCATGCAACTTGAGTGAAGAAAGAGCGTGATCAGAAACTATTCTATAGCACAGAACTCATCACTATGATCATTTGTCAATGTATATGGCTTTAGAGGTATATCTATGGTTTTCATTACTTGTGCTGGTAAAAAAAAAAATACTTGCAAACTCTCTTTGCACAATATTCACACTCTTGCAAGAATATAAATCTATCCACAAAGATATGGGCCACTTTCCAATTTGACTTTGCATGATTGTGTTTTATTTGGGGAGAAAGCTTTTCTATTGTTTTGTCAAAGATGTACACCATTTGGCAGCTTTTGATACTTGCATGCATAGACCTTGTGGTCTACTGTACTGAATCCAGGTACATTGTTATTCCCCCATTTGTTTACATTATTTAGCAAATTATGTAAGTTTACCATCTGACAATGAAACAGGTCAACTTCAAAAAAATAAATATACAGCTTCATAGATTCTCTCAACTGCCATTTGGTTTGGAATGTCTAATCAAAAAGTACTGTACTGATTATGTACAGTACTAATGAGTTAATATAACACAACCTTCTTACTTGACAGCAAACCTGCTCTGTGCTTTGCCTCTCAGGCACTCTTTTCTATCATAAACCACCCCTGAACTAGCACTTATGCCTTACGAATGCATTCCTGGAACTTTCAATAAATTCCCTGGTTTTCCAGAAATCCTGGCTGAATGGAAACTCTGGGAAAACCGGAGAATTTATTGAAAGTTCCAGGAATTTTGGCAACCCTATTGCTATGTATTTGTGTATGTATTTATACTAATGACTTTTTGAAAGTATCCATCCAGGTTATTTAAAATATCCATAACTTTATTTGTACTATCTAAAATGGTATGAAGAAACTTGACCTGCCAGTGTGTCGATAACCAAAGTTTGTTGTGTGCGTACATTTAGTTTCCCAGGCTTTCAACCTCTCACTATGAATGTCTTTTGTGATTTCACAAGTAATGTATTCATACGAGAAGCTTAACTTCTTTTGAATATTACAACCAACAACCCTCTACTATATGTAGTGGTGCAATTTTTTTAAAACTTTGTTGCTTGTTTATTACTAGTAGTGCTGTAAATATTAAGCTCCAACATTAATTAATTGAACTCATGTTCAATGTGTGCCAACAATACAGGATAGGAAAACTTCTGTTTCTGCATAGTATTCTCTTAAAGCTTTTTACAGTGATATGAATGGATATTTCCTTCAATGCTTGTTTGATGCAGGCGTGTATATCTTAAGTAATGTCAGTACATATTTATATCAGGAAAATAGTCAAATGATAATATAGTAGTTTAGTTTGTAAATGTCAATGTTTCTCCTATTGTCTAGGCAGTTGGTTGTGTAATCCTTACTGAAAGTGCCAAAAGCCATGTCTGAATAGACACATTTTAATAAATGTTAACTCAAGTGTTCAATGACTCTTAAATTACTTGATTATTTAATCATTGATTCAGACAGTATTTCATGAACAACTTAAAATGTATATCCCTTAATATTGCATTTGGAATATTAAATGGACACATGGTAGTAGCAATGATGGAGCAGTATGATGGTGCAGTGTGACTCCCTGCCATAATTTTTACATTAACATTACTGCTTGATGGACACTTAATATGTAATAAAAAAAAGTGATTGCACAGGATCTTTAAAGAATGTATTACATAACAGGAAATGTGGAATGTAATTGAGCTTCAAATATGAGGAAATGTCCACATAATATGTCACAAGAATGCAATACCTCTGACAAAACACGTTTCTCTGAGTTGGGTACCACAATGTGAAAGACTAAACTTTTTTAACCAATTACAAACCTGAACTAAACAAAAACTTTGATGTGCAATTAGTCAATAGATCTTGGATCAAAATAAAATTATCTGCTGCAACATCCAAATGTGAAAGTGGGCTTTTACAGTATATCTTTAAATTGTCAAGATTATAAATAGTGGGAAAGAAAGCATAAACTCAGGGTGTATGTTTTAACTACAGTGAGATAAAAAAGTATTTGATCCCCTGCTGATTTTGTACGTTTGCCCACTGACAAAGAAATGATCAGTCTATAATTTTAATGGTAGGTTTATTTGAACAGTGAGAGACAGAATAACAACAAAAAAATCCAGAAAAACGCATGTCAAAAATGTTATAAATTGATTTGCATTTTAATGAGGGAAATAAGTATTTGACCCCTCTGCAAAACATGACTTAGTACTTGGTGGCAAAACCCTTGTTGGCAATCACAGAGGTCAGACGTTTCTTGTAGTTGACCACCAGATTTTGTCCCACTCCTCTTTGCAGATCTTCTCCAAGTCATTAAGGTTTCGAGGCTGACGTTTGGCAACTCGAACCTTCAGCTCCCTCCACAGATTTTCTATGGGATTAAGGTCTGGAGACTGGCTAGGCCACTCCAGGACCTTAATGTGCTTCTTCTTGAGCCACTCCTTTGTTGCCTTGGCCGTGTGTTTTGGGTCATTGTCATGCTGGAATACCCATCCACGACCCATTTTCAATGCCCTGGCTGAGGGAAGGAGGTTCTCACCCAAGATTTGATGGTACATGGCCCCGTCCATCGTCCCTTTGATGCGGTGAAGTTGTCCTGTCCCCTTAGCAGAAAAACACCCCCAAAGCATAATGTTTCCACCTCCATGTTTGACGGTGGGGATGGTGTTCTTGGGGTCATAGGCAGCATTCCTCCTCCTCCAAACACGGCGAGTTGAGTTGATGCCAAAGAGCTCCATTTTGGTCTCATCTGACCACACCACTTTCACCCAGTTCTCCTCTGAATCATTCAGATGTTCATTGGCAAACTTCAGACGGGCATGTATATGTGCTTTCTTGAGCAGGGGGACCTTGCGGGCGCTGCAGGATTTCAGTCCTTCACAGCGCAGTGTGTTACCAATTGTTTTCTTGGTGACTATGGTCCCAGCTGCCTTGAGATCATTGACAAGATCCTCCCGTGTAGTTCTGGGCTGATTCCTCACCGTTCTCATGATCATTGCAACTCCACGAGGTGAGATCTTGCATGGAGCCCCAGGCCGAGGGAGATTGACAGTTATTTTGTGTTTCTTCCATTTGGGAATAATCGCACCAACTGTTGTCACCTTCTCACCAAGCTGCTTGGCGATGGTCTTGTAGCCCATTCCAGCCTTGTGTAGGTCTACAATCTTGTCCCTGACATCCTTGGAGAGCTCTTTGGTCTTGGCGGAGAGTTTGGAATCTGATTGATTGCTTCTGTGGACAGGTGTCTTTTATACAGGTAACAAGCTGAGATTACATTTCACATTTACATTTTTGTCATTTAGCAGACACTCTTATCCAGAGTGACTTACAGTTTGTGAGTGCATACATTTTTCATACTGGCCCCCCGTGGGAAACGAACCCACAACCCTGGCATTGCAAGCGCCATGCTCTACCAACTGAGCTACAGGGGACCTGTAAGAGTGTGCTCCTAATCTCAGCTCGTTACCTGTATAAAAGACACCTGGGAGCCAGAAATCTTTCTGATTGAGAGGGGGTCAAATACTTATTTCCCTCATTAAAATGCCAATCAATTTATAAAAAATTTACATGTGTTTTTCTGGATTTTTGGGGGGTTATTCTGTCTCTCACTGTTCAAATAAACCTACCATTAAAATTATAGACTGATCATTTCTTTGTCAGTGGGCAAACGTACAAAATCAGCAGGGGATCAAATACTTTTATCCCTCACTGTAAATGTGTATTTATTTTAGCCTGGAGCCTATGTGCACAGTCACACCCATAACAGTTGGGCAATTACTTGCAGTAATTTCTACTGTTTTGAAGTGTGAAAATAAACATTTATCATCTTTTATGATGGTGATCATTTCAACAGCTAGCTCTGCTTCAGTAAATTGTTTGCAAGATACAGTAGAGAGTATTCTATTTTGAGAGCTGTCATGATTCATGAATCTATCCACTAGATGGCAGCCTGATGTTAGTAATGCTTCAGTTAATGTGTTTATAAGAAACTTTAGTTTTCATCAGTAAACTTCAATAACTTATGTTTTTTATTTATTAAATGCAGCCAAATATGTAATAGGTAAAGTGTTGATACTGGTTAGAATTAAATTAGGCTTCAATTAGATTCAGTTGTATTGTTGCTGACCTTTGCTGTGTGATTGAAATGCATAGGCTACCCCTTGATACAAGTAACTGATGCAGAAACGCAAGGTTTCGCTTACAACTGTTATGCATTAATGATGGTAATAATAATGATTAATTATGTCATAATAATTAAATTATTTTATTTCCCAAGAAAATTCCACCATAACTTTTATTTCATGGGAATTTTGATGAGGGAAAAAGCAAAAGAGTTGGCGAAATGTATAAGCGATAATTAGGACGTGTGGTCTCATCTTAATTTAGTTTGCTTACTTTGTGTGCTATGAACATTCAGTAGGGCAGAGTAGGTAACTAGATTCAGCCCCAGACTGATTTTAGTCAGAGCGGATGGTCGAGGTCCAGAACATAATTATAATAATTTGAACACTGCAAATTGACCACAACTAAGCCCAGAATAAATTGTATTTGAAAATTGAGACGTGATCACGTCTATTTTTTTAATTCGGGGAATAATTGGCAACAGATTTCCTAAATTAAACATTTTTAGCTGAATTCCTGGTGATTTTTGTCTTATTTTTTTTATTTTTTTTACAAGAAATCAACAAAATAAAAATCAACAAAGGAAATCGCTCGCGGGTCCGGTTTTGGCCCGTGGGCTCTAGTTGCAGACCCCTGCAATAGAATATCGGCACCACCCACCTGCTGTAGGGTGAAAAGGGATCGCTCACTACCTAAGGGAACGTCGCCAAAAGCTTAAATGGGGTAGGTAGTCTTTCATTATAATGTCAAGGGAGAATCTGCCAAGTTTCCAACCATGACTACGTCGAGGAGTGCTTAGGGATAAAATAGTTTCTTCCTTCCTCGAGTTATAGAACACAAACACGTTTCAACATCTCTTACATATTTCACCAACATGAAACTTAGAAACCATTATTATACAATGCCATTATTTCCCCCCACACTGACTGCACATATATTTACATTTGCCGACATACCCTTTGTATGTATAAGTTGGCCTCGTATGATTCAGAGGGAATTTGCATCTGATTGCTGTTTGTCAACCAATGATTTGACTCTACGACGGTGAGCACGCCTTAAATTAGTCAAAGATACAATGTAACCTGTAAATCAAGCCATACATTGAAATCGAATTAGATGTGTGCAACGGAATAGAAATATCACAATCAATTGATATCAGTTTACTACTATATCTGAAATACACAATTGATAACCACCAGAACGCCTTAGATTCAGGAGGAAATCAGGAATTTTTCTTCCGGTTCCCAAGAATGCAAAAATAAAACGGAAGCTGATTTGGTAAGTTTTTTTTCTTCTGTTATTGCCACTCGCACGCTCGGTTTGGAATTCATTATACAAGCAGGAGTCTTCTCCTGCCTAATGTTGTTTTATATGTTCCTCGGATAATTAAGATACGTTTATATCATGTCTGATTCAACTTTACTAATCGGATACAGCCCAATGTGTACATGCCCCTTTTGATAAGAATATATTTATTTATATATCGCTTTTCATTACACGTTGAATCTCAAAGTCGCTTTAAAAACAAAACAAACAGAAAACA